TTGTGCAACACTGTCACTCTTGTTGCTTGACTTCTCTAGCTTACTGATTGCATCATTCAGACACTTTGCAATATCCAGCAAACCAACAACACCTCCATTGCMATCAACCACAGGCAGGTGTCGAAAGTGGTTCTCAACCATGGTAGTCATAGCATCCATTGCAGCATCTGACATTGACACACATGTTGGGTTTGCTGTCATCACCTTGGAGACACTGGTAGAAGCAGCATCAAGATGCTTGGCTACCAATCTTCTRGTAATATCAGTGTCAGTGATAATCCCTGCAAGGCCACCCTCCTCGCCAACAATCAATGAAGCAGATCCTCTCTTGCTGGCAAGCATCTGGGTGACTGATAACACACTGTCTCCAACAGAAGATATRAGAGGCTTCTTTGGTCTTAGTTTTGCTACAGAACGACTGTCGTTTGTCACACTGGCGTCTCGCTTTTTCCGACTTTCTCGTGACTTAAGACTAGCTCCTGAGTCAACTCTATTTTTCTTTGTCTTAGCATTGCCTGAAATGATGGTATTTTTATTCGTTTTTGCAGGTATGAATGGAGAAGTCTTACTTTTAGATACCAAATTCATTTCTGCTTTGAAGTTTGTCTGGGATGTGTTAGCTTCTAACTCTTTCTTAAGGTTTTGTTCAAATGCGCTAATTTCTTTGTCAAGTTCCTCGGCGTCTCCAAACCGTTTTTCTGAAATAGCAATGTCCATCAAATTCTTTTTCGTTGCAATTTTGGTTCGGAGCTCGTCCGCAGTTGGAAAATTGGTGCGAAGTGTCTCCAAATTGTCGATGTATGCCTGAATTTCTTGGGCTTTTTTGAAGTTCTTGGATGATATCTCATTTTCTTGCAAAGAAGCATTTGATTTGATCTCCGCTTCGAGAGCTTGCCTTGAGTCAAATTCTATTTCTTTACCATCGATCCCTATAATTTTTGTAGAGATGGGATGCGCGTTAGCACTGATAGTCTCAGCCTTCTCCTTTTCCTCCTCAATTCTTCTTTTGAGTACAAATAACTCCTTATTCAGTTTGTCGGCTTCTTCAAAGTTTTTGCTAGCGATGGCTAGTTCAAGTGATTCGGTTGCATTCCGTAATTCTTCCTCGAGCTCCTCGATAGAAGGAAAGAAAGATCGGAGCTTTTCTTTCTCATTTATTTTCGATTGTAGTTCCGACGCTAATTTGAAGTCCTTGTTAGAAATTGCTTCATCAACTTGTTTGTGAAGGTCCTTTAATTCGTTTTCTAGGTCGGCGCGCGATTCAATGCCATCAAAAGTTATGTTCAAAACTTCTTCGTTTTCACTACGCTCACTGTTGTCTTCGCTTCCATCCTCCTCTTCCGTTGCCTCCTCCAGCCGTCTTTTCGCTTTATCTACGTCTTTTTGGAGGGAAGCTGCGTTTTCAAAATCTCGCCGTTTTGCTGCACTTGCGACAGCTTCTTCTGCTGCTTTAACGTCATTCTTCAATTCATCCATTGTTGGGAATTCCGTCCGGAGATCGGTCAATTTTTCTAATTCATCCTGTAATGGACCAGCTTCTTTGTAATCCTTGGACTTAATTGCATTGTCAAGTTGTTTTTGCACCGTTTCAATTTTCTCTTCCAGTCGCTTCCGCGTCATAGGTTTCCGTTCTGCAATCGCGACCTTGAGAGATTCACTGGGAAAGTGCATATAACACATAGTAAGAAATTAGGAATTCGGCTGATCGTATAAATAGCGGTAAACAAAATATGTTTTGTACGTACATTTTTTCTTCAATCAAAGCGGCAGTTTTGAAGTCTTTGGCATCAACTGCTTTTTCCATCCGAGTAATTTCAGAACGCAAAAACTTTTTCATTTCTTTGTATGTCATATCAAAATAAGGATCTCTCAACTTGTTTGCCACAAATTTGGCGACCACCATCCGTTGAAGGGATTGAATTTTTACGACCGCACCAATACATTTTTTGAAAAGTTCCATTTTCAAATGCATTTTGTAAGTTGCAGCGATCTTTGTGGATGCTTTGTTTTCTCGATATTTCTGTCTCATAAAAAGGCGAAACTTTGCCCACGCAACCAGAAGAGAAGATGCCCTTTTTGTGGCAATGAACCGACCAAATCGACTGAGAGTCCGAGCAGCCCGGTGTACACGAAGCTTCGCTAGCCGTTCCAACTTGTCGGATAATTCTCGACGAAGGAAGATCTTCGTGTGTCCGATCTGCCAGTCTGCGTCTGTTACGTTGAGGCGTTTGGAGAGAACGTTTACCAGCTGATCTATTCCTATATCTTCCTTCAAATCATCGGCGCTAAGAAGAACACTAAAGCGATTGTAGAAACTCTTGTGGTCTTCTCGCAGCGCATAGCCTTCACGTCGAATTCGAATAGCTTCCATCATTCCGGAATATCTCAGTTGCTTCAGCACTTCCCCAGCATTAAAATTGTTCGATGATTTTTTCAAGTTTGGTTTGATACAACGGACGTAATGGGGTTGAGTCATTTCCAAATCATCTACCAAAGATTGTAAGGACTGTTTGAATTGAGAGGCAACACTGAAGCCACGAATTGAAGACCGCCTCTCGTCACTGTTTGAACTGGCACTGAAGACATCTCGAGCCAAGGGAATCGTCGAAGTCGAACCTAAGTCTTTTAACTCGTTGCTTGTGCTTTCCATATTTTTTTCAACGAATCCATCGACAGTATATCGAACCTTCGAAAAAATGCAATCCATCAAAAACAAAGATCGCGTCAGTATAAACGAAAGAAGAATGAACCAAGTCGGAAGGCACCCTCAAAATTGTACATACCTCTCCCGCATAGTGAGTAATGTCAAATTGACGATCGTTTCCGAATTTGGGAGTTCCGAAATACGGATGTCCACCATTTGTACTTTTAGCTCCAGCCACGCTCCCAAACAATTTGTGCAGTTGAGAAACGAACTTGATATCTTTCTCGCTGCCCGATCCCATACCCGAGAACGAATCATCAAGTGTGTTGAGTATACCAACAGTGCCTCCGCCACCTTCAATTAAATCTAAGCATGGCTGATTGTCATTGAAGGTGATGTAGGTCCAGTCGACTCCCTGGGATGAATAAAGCTTCTGCTCGACTTCGAAAACATGGCGATTGAAATGCCTTTGCAATTTCTCGTTGCAAAAATTTATCAAGAGTTGTTCGTATCCATTAACTTCAAAGCATTCAAATCCATAAATATCAAGAACGCCGATGAAGCCAATCGGTGTCTCGTCGTTCTGGACTTCGCTATCAGCCTCGTGTTCACCCAATGTTTGATTGATCGATTTCACAAGCCAAATAAATAGTGATGAGTATGTCATCTTGGCTAATGAATCTCGTTTGTCTTCAGCCATAACAACAGTAGAAGGTGTTTTGATACTCTTTCCGCCTATGTTTAATCGCTTTGTTAAAATTGCGTCGGCTACTGCATCCTCTTCCAGACCAAGTAACTCACAAGCTTTTTGTAGACTAGGACGAGAACCCTCTGAGATAATTGCCGAGTGATCCTCGTTCTCTCCCTCTTCAAATACAATATTGCCTAAATGCAAGACAGCAGCTGCCAACGCCATCACGGTTTCTTGCTCTTCCGTTGCAAGGCCGATATTAGAAAGGCATTGCATCGTCTCGGCGTAATCGCTCTTGTCTTTTTCTGTTTTTGGAGACGAACGATTTCCTAGGTATTTGAATGCTGCTGCTCCAGTGTCGAGTCCAAGCTTAGTGAGAAGGTCTGATTTGGCTCCTGCGAAGAGCTGGTAGAAAATATGGTAATTCCTCTCACCCTCAATTTGAGTTGTGATTCTCGTTTTTTCCAAGAGGTAGTTGGATATTTGAGCACCCGTAATAATACCTTTCTCCGTACTAAAATTGATGTGAATAAATTTTCCGAATCGCGATGAATTGTCGTTGCGTAACGTTTGTGCGTTTCCAAACGTTTCTAAGAGAGGATTTGAGGATAAGACTCGATCTTCCAACGCTGCCATCACTTTCCCATCGGGAGATAGAAATGGCGGGCTTTCTTCAGACGTCCATTTCCCTTTCTTCTTTGTGATTCGGGCAAGATATTTCATGATGTACTTGGTTGCTTCAGTTTTTCCAGCCCCACTCTCTCCACTGATAATGATGCTTTGATTCATTACCTGCCCGGGGCCTGATCTGCGTTTTTGGGGACTTTCAATGCAGTGGTCAGCATTTGAGTCTTCGAGCTTCGGAATAATGTGTACAGAATCCATCATTGCGCTATATGCTCTATCAGCCACTTTAAATAAGTGAGGTTCGTCATCCGAAGAATTCTCGGTCATCCGATATTTCATCATCATCTTCTCCGAATATAACGATTCACTCTGAGATGTAGTGACTGACTTGTATGGATTGACCGAGATTAAAATGGGACCTGCAGAGGTGTAAATGTCGTCTCTTTTGTATCGAAGGCGTATGGCATGGAGCAGGCTCGATTCCGTAACGTTCGTCAAGTGCAATACATCATCGAGACCCTCGTAGTCGTCCGGGGATATCAATGGAACAAGTTTTGCGGCGTCTTCGATTTTGTATAGAGTACCGTCTCGAGTTTTGACTAAGGCCGGCCCTACTGGTACTATGTTGGCCTTTTTGTTTTTCTTCCCTTTACCATTTCCTCTCGATGTGTTGACGTTTTCGTCGACGAGTGATTTGACGATCGTACATGGAGCGTACAGATGTTGGCAATTGAAAAGGAGTTTATCCACGTCGCTCCCACTTCCTTTCCCATTTTTCTTTCCTGGTGTTTTGAATGATGTAGTCGCGTTTCCAGGATTGTTGTTCTCGCTGATGATTAATAAAGGGTCAAAAAAATATTCCACGATGGTTTTACCAGTCACCTGCGAACGAGTAAATTGATGCGGTATTGTGAGATTCAAAGAAAGATAAAGTATGGTTTTCGAAATTGCCCTACGCATCTGCCCAACGTACGAGATCTACCGCTTTGGCCCTATGCTTGGCGTTCTTTGGTCCAGCAGGTGTTTTGTAAGGGGTGACAAAATCGCCTTGTTTCGATTTTGGTGCCGGAGTTGAAACAGAAGACGCCATCTTTCGCCAATTGCAACGTCGTGTGATGTAATCTTTGTAGCGGTATGTCGCTGCTTATCTGTTGTCATAGCCCGGCAAGAGGGTTCTGCCAAAGGGTGGATTGTGTCTACCTTTAAAAACTGATTGAGGCTGTATCAGCATGCACGTCAAAAAGGGTTGGCAGGGTGTGACTTTTTGAATTTTCAAAAAAATTGCGATTGGGATTCATCCCATATCATGATTGTTTCGTTCATACCCACACAACATAGTACTAAGCGTATGATCGTACCATGATAAGTGGCCCAAAACGGCCTTCACAACTTTTGTATGATACGACTTTGAAATGGTATTTTGTATTTTGTGAACATGAAATGTGACTCAAAATTAAAAATGCTTCCACTTCGGACGTTTCTTCGAGATTTTTTACTGAATAACTTCCTTCTTTTCTTTCGTACCGGTGTCAGTACGTAACTCATATCATCGACGCCCGTTGTCTTTCCTTCTTCCAATGCTCGTCCAGTCTTTTGAGAGAGAATCGTGTGCGATGCACTGAGGGATCTACCTCCACAAGTTTCGAAATTCCTTTTTTTAACACTCTGCAACACATCCAACGATAAGAGACAAGATCTATTACGAATAGTTTCCGAAAATAAACAAACTGCCGAGTTCATCCACAGTCAAGATTCGAATTCGATCCGATTTACTTCCGAATCGTAATGGGTCGTGGGAAATCGAAAGCTTCCAAGAAGCAAAAGGTCAGTGAGTGTAATAATATGAAGGACGATCAGAACGCATCGGTTCTCAACAATGAAGAAGAAGAAAGAAAGAAGAATCAAGAACAAGATCGAGAAGAAAGCGAACCGATTATAGCGCTCAAAGCGATCAACACAGGCAAATCGGAGAATCAAGGACATGGCGAAGAGGTAAATACAGCTACTGCAGATTCAGATTCAGGGACACCGCCTTCGAACGACTATGGAAGAAGCAATAACGACGAGGACCAAGACGAAGAAACATCTGAAGTCTGGGATATCATTCGTGTGATTCCTACAGCCGAAGAGAAGATCGTTTGCCGCTACGAAAATTGCACGAATCAAGCAGTTGCCACTTGGGCATCAAATCTAGCCCCTGACGACAAATGGTCTCTCTGCGAAAAGTGTCAACTCGAAGATTTTGGAGGATGGCCCGAAGGTGTCGACCCAATCGAACGGAAGAGCGACCTCTCGAACTTCGAAATGGAGGACACCACGAAGAACGGCAAGTCCATTGTGGCCACAATCGACGGCAATTTTTATTCCGAGGACCACAAAGAATCTCCTTCTCAAGGAGAAAGCATCGACGACACTTCTATTCCAATTATTTCTACTCCATCAGCAGCTGTTTGCATGTCAACCCAAGACGAACCAGAGGAGATGAATTCCGGAGAAGAGGCCTTCGAACTTTCTAGAATCGTATCTCTCCAGAAGCTTCTCGGAAATCCGATCAAGTGCCACGATCAAGATTGTAATCTTCCAGCTTGTTCAGTCTACACGTCCAAAGCTGACCCAAAGAAATGGTATTATTGCGTTGACTGCCAAGAAAGGGACTTCGGTGGATGGCCACCACCAAAGGAACTCCCAGTCGATTATCTCGAGCCAAAGTATTTGCAAATAATTGCAACCAAGTGTTCCAAAAAGCGGAATCCCGCAATGCCCAGCTTCAACTCACACTGTGTCACCCCTCTTCCGATATCCCCGCACCCTCCCAAGGGAATTGCTTCTGCTTCGGAGAAAGTCAATGGGAAAGAAAAGCCGACGAAATTCTCGGCGGCGGCTTTAGCCCGCCACGCGAAATGGCAGGCCGATGCAAAGAAATTAGGCGTCAATCGTATCGTCGTCAAGAAGGAGGAGGCTAAAAAGGTTGTCTTCGATGCTCTTTACGACGCTTTTCGCCCCATGAACATTAACGGCATTTACATGGTGAGCACAGTACAATTCAACGGATCACTTCCGAAAGCCAAACAAGCGGTGTTCCTATCTTTTCTCATACTCGCCTGTCTGATTCTCCCGGTTGCTTCTTTTCCCATATGTGCTTCGTTATTACAGACATTGAAAAAAATGGTTCCTTCTCCTGTTCTGAACGCTGCACTCGAGGACATGTCGATGACTTTCGATGGAGGCAATGTGTTCGATGGAAGCGACGACGAAGACAATGACAAGGAGAAGGAGGGAAAAGGAGCCCCGGAAAAGAAGCCCGAATTGAAAGAGTCCTATTCAGGCTCCCTCGTATTCAAGGCAGGGCGGAATGCAAAATCAAATCTCTACTATGTGGACTACACCAAAATGAAGGAGATGGATGGTGACGTACGACAGGAGCTTGCAAGCAAAACCGCGATCGCTGAGGGAGAATACAAGGACCTGACCTTTGCCTTCAAACAAGCAGCTACCAGGTCGAAACAATTGCTGTCCGAACCAACAAACGATGAGCTAGTTTGCCTCTTGATTGAGGCAGAAAAAGCTGTAGTTGCCCTCACGGACAGTGTCAACGATGCGAAGGCCCTGTTGGTCAATGAAGGCCACAAAAACAAACTCAAGCGCCGGATCCAATCGATGGCAGGGCACTATCGCAAGAGAAAACAGCTTTGCTGTTCGTTCCTATGCGCTCTCGAGGAAGTTTCTGACGGTGCCATAAGCAAGAAGAAGTGTCTCAGTGGAGATGGTCAGATTCCGTTGGACTCGGATGAAAGCATCATCAAGAGTGCGATTGCGTACGCCAAATCGAAGAAGCATCAAAAGACCAGGAAGGCAACTCTAGCTGACGATAAATTCATTGGTGTGATTTTGGATAGCCAAGGTATGGTAAAGCGTTCTTATGTAGATGAAAAGTGATTGATTCAAATGGATTTGAAATAGTGCCTACTTCGAAATTGGATAACATTGGTTACTACTATAAACCAGTGGCATTGTATTATATTCTGCTTCATGTCCATCTTTTTGCTCCATAGTTTCATTTTGGGATGACTTTTGCTCTGCAATTTTTCTATTCTTGCTATTTTTGACATGGCGTTTGTTCTTGTCATCCTTTGTTTGCAGTAACTTTTTCTTTCTATTTTGTTTTTCATTGTACTATGTTTATTTGGCATCCATTTTTCTTTTCACTTTTTCATTGGTTTCTGATTTTGCTTTCTAATACTATGGCCATCTTAAAACTCTGGTTTTTTCTGTGCTGTTGATGTTGCTGTTGTGAGAAGCTATAAGTAGTATTGATACCATAGTGACTATGTCTGAGACAGATGTTAATTCCAACTTTTACTTTTAGTATTGCTGACAAATTCATGTTGATGAAACATTTCATCACCAGCCACTTATATTCTGCTTAAGAGATGTTCCTTGTTATATTCCTTGTTCAATTTCATTGTGTACTGGTGATACTACTACTAGGCATTTAAAGTATTCAAAATGGAGTTCCAGAACACATGTCCTCATGGTAGTAGTAGTGGTAGTAGTAGTAGATTCACCATTAAAAAACTTGAGAAGATATTTTGATAACATTTAGCTTGAAAAACAAAAACAGGAGGACGAGCAGGTTGAGTTGTTCAATATTTTGACAGGTCTTTCTGCTACACTAGTCCCAGGTGTATGAGGAAGTGTTTGTTGTGTTCACTACTTGTAGATTGGTGTATTGCCCCACACCAATAGTTATCTCATCAAAGCATCATGCAAGGATCAGGTGAGACAATTCTTCTTGTTCGCAAACAACAACAAGTAGTAAGAAGCTCCCTCCTGTTGACCTCCTGCTCTTGAATTGGCTTCCTGTCTTGTTTGTGTCATAACTCAGCCTGGCCTAATTGATGACTACTAGTAGTAGTAGTACAGTAGTGCTAGCAGTACCCCCATCATCCATCCTTCTCATCACATTATCATATCAGCTCACTATAAGTTCTTGTACTCATACTACTATTACCAGTAATAGTGGCAGTATCATGGAAGTCAGCTGGGCTGGTGACCACTGGTTGGCCTGTGCATCTGCACTCAGACTGTCCCTTCATCTTCCATGTGTCTCTCCCTGGTGATGTAACCTGTCCTTGGTGTACCTGAGATCAGACTATTATACTTTACTGGTAACCTAGTAGCTCTTTCTGACCAGATCCTTTTGAAACTTCACTACTAGTATGCATTCTAATAATACAGTTAAATATGATAGACACTGAATAATTTCTACCACTTGCATGAGCCACTTTACTACAGAAATCAAGGTGCAAGAAGGTGACCATGCTTTAATTTTTTTCATCATTGTTCTCTAAAAAACAAGAATTGTCATCACAAGAAGGTCAATGACAATGAAAGCCATCCAGTCATTCTTGTTGCATTTTCAAAAATGTAGATCCATAGAATGTAGAAGAATGTGTACCCTGACACAGAATAGACTTTGATTTGAAGTTGAAAACCTGATATATAATCTGAAAACTTAAGTTGAAAACCTGATATACAACCTGAAACTAACCACTGGTGGTTACCATGGTCAACTGTTTGTGTTGTGGATCATACTACTACTAGTAGTAGTGCCTAGTGGTGTTATACCAGTACCTTTCAAGAATTGCCATCAAAATGAGGAATGTCTGAATTCTTTGACTATTTTTCCCACCTTGTGTTGTCAAATATTGCCATGCCCAAAAATCATGCTTGCTACTACTACTACTACTCTTACTACTACTACTACTAGCACACAGCAACATTGAAATTAAGCTACCTTTCTATGAGCAGTGGTTGTTCTTGTCTTTCTGTTCACCACATTTAAAAAAAACAAATCCCACAGTTACAAAGGTGATTTTTTCCACTCTTTGACATCTGAGGCATCCACTTTTCGCTTTGAATCCCCATTGTATTGAGCTATCCAATCCATTTCAACATCTTTGTTCATCTTGCTACTAGTAGGATAAGCATGAAATATTTTGCTTCCGGCAGTGTTTATTTTATTTTTGGTACACCTGTCATTGTTTTTAAAATTTATCACATGCGAAGCCACTAGTAGTATAGTATCAGTTCCAACAATTGCATCCATAGTAGGAATGTACCACTCTACTAGTGCTAATAGTACAAAGAAAATACAAAGATAGTGCCACCAACTGTTTGTGAAAAGTGATGGGAAGATAGTACAGGACAAAATTAAATGGTGGTTCTCTTTATCTGTCAACAACCCTTGATTCATTGCCAATGACCAAGTCTATCCTGTTATTCCAACAAGGAGCTGAAGAAAATTAGAGATTTTCTCCCTGTCACCAGAGAAGTAGTAGAGGAGTGGGTCATCAGCAGTGTTGGCTGATTGCTTGGCTTCTATTTACACTAAATGAACACATTGTCTAGTAACAAAGGCAAATTCATCCTGGATGCTTATTGTGTTCCTGATAAGGAAACATCATCACATATACTAGTGCCACCCCCAATATCAAGACCACCAATGCAAAGAATTTGGGGTGATTGTGGAGAGAGGAAACCATTCCTGTGCATCATCACATGTCAACCTCTACTAGCAGCGATGTCTTGTTTGGAATTACCATTAACTTCTCTTCCTGACCCTGGTTGGCATTACCATCAACTTCTCCTCCTGACCCTTTGGACCACAATATACTCTCAGTTGTGGAAACTGACTTCTGCTTCATGTCATCACATCTTGAAAAGTTGTCAACACAGACTACAACTCTGACCTGAGCTTTCTTCCTCCTACTACAGTGCAGTCTTCAAAACAAGAATTGATGTTCTGTGCACAAGTACTAGTATGGGGCAGCCTTTTGTTGGTGGCATGACTCCTAAGGAAGATTGGACCCTGAAGAAATTCCAATTCATCTTTCATAATGATGAAGGAGTTGTTTAATGTCATCAAAGGAAATATCAGAGTACTGACTACTACTACTAGTACTAGTAGTACTAGGCATAGGTGACATCAGAGACAACCACTTTCAATAGAACCATTACTATTTAAAAGAAAACGCAATTTCTCCAAAGATAAAAAATGAGTAATTTTTGTCACTGGTGGTCATTCCAAGATGTAAGAGAACCATATTGCTCCCAAGACTAAAAAAAGTCATTGTCATCATCCGCATTCCAAGATTCAAGAAAACTGAATTGCTCTTGCAACTGAAAAAATGAGTCATTGATGTCATTGGTCATTCCAAAATGAAAGAAAACCCAATTCTTCACAAGACTAAAAAATCAATCATTGTTGTCATCTGTCATTCCAAAATGAAAGAGAACAAAATTTCCTCAAGAATATCACTTGTACTCCTTGAATGTTCAATCATTGTTATCATTATTGATCATTCCAAAATTTAAGATAACCCAGCAGTTCTTTGTCCTATGACTTGCTGGATATTTGGTCATTCTTGTAATTGATCATAGTAGTGCTACCAAGACAAAAGAGAACCCAATCCCTCCCAAGACTTGCTAGTGGTAGATGAAGAGCTACTATGGTCATGATATGGACAATCTCATTGCACCCAACAAAGGTAATGGGAACACCTTTGGTTATGGGTATGGTGGGTATGAGAATGCACTGACTGAGACAAAACAAAGATCCTGCTGATGCCTTTTGGGACAAGTTTGAGTCCTGCAAGAAATAATACCAGCAGTTCCTCTCGGAGCATCACAGTGCCAAAGCCAAAGCCACTGGCCTCAACAACAAGAACTTATTGATGACTGCCAACCTTGTTGCTTCCAGGCCCACTGGAAAATGTGACAACTACTATGTCAATAAATAGTCATTATGATTGTTGGTCATTTCAAAATCAAAACAGTTGTTTTTTGATGATGAAAGAGAAGCCCATTCTGAAGGTGTGACAAATTCAGTCACAAGAAGCCATGATACAACCATCAAAATAGAAGTGCTAAAGAACCCAAGACTAGACAAAAACATATGAGCATTGCATACTAACCTTAATGTTACAAGCATTTTTTTAACTTTAAAATATGTAAAATTTTGGACTAGCACCATGAGAGGCAATAGGGAAGCTAGAATCATCTGTGAACCCTTAAATATTGGAAAAGGGTCAAATAATTTATCAAATAAAATTTTTGACGTACCTAAATTTGACCAGCAGCATGCAGAACTGATAATTTGGATTATCCTCAATCTTGGGAAGACTGGTGATGATTTTGGCAATTGAAACTTTCAGCTCTCATTTTTTGGCCAGCTGACAATTTTGGGAGCTGATTTTTTTTCAAGACTAATTAAACCTTTGCAACCTGTGGTTAGCTGTTTAATTTTTCAATACTGCTTCATTATGTACTAAAAATGCACTATTTTCAATCCCATTCCTCAGCTCATATTCTTCTGAAATTCACAATTTTCAAAAACTTCAAACTCCACCATGTATTCTAGTACTGCTTCCTCTCTAGCTTGTTTGTTGACAGTGATAGTGATGAGGAGAGTGTCTCTCCTCCCCCTGCTACTGTCACTCCTGTAACATCTGCTCCTGCTTGTGTGACTCTAACTGTTCCACAATCCCTTCATTGTGTTCTGTTCCAGTAATGTCAGCAAAGAGTCTGTCTTGCTACCAAACTTTCAATTTCATGTTGTTTCTGCTGTCACTTTCAGAATGATTATTTCAATATTGTTGATGACACGGCCGCCTATTTGAGCTAAGTTGTTTGTTTTAAAAAAAAATATGTGTGACAATTCCTTCTTACATTATCATACAGCATGGGCCATGCATTTCTGGACATGTCATTTGTACATTTTTAGTGATATCCGTACATACATGTTGATGATATATTCCACTACTAGGACCCCCAAACTCTCCCATACTATGCCTAGAATCCTCTTTTTACTGGGATTTGATTCTTTATGTGCCTATCATACTTAAGTGTCAATTGGGGGCCAATTTATAGTTGTTAGAGTGAGTTGACATTTACTTAACATTCTAGTATGCGTCAATTTTGGGCTATCTTTTTACTGTGTAATCACTCATGGGATTAAAAATTTGACTTGTACTGACAATACAGCAACAGCATGTGTTGAAGCAAAAGGCAAGTGTGCGTGAAATTATTTGTTTGCTGCCAGACTTGTGGGATTAAAAACTTCAGCACATGCATGGCTGTAAACTACAGTACAAGTCAGTTTTTTAGTCAAGGTAGTTATTACGCACAAAATAAGGGACCAAAAGCTACAACTGGTGTGTCAATTTGGTACCAAACTCAATACCATTCATTTGTTACATTAAACATTTAATATGTTTGCATGTTTGCAGGAAGAAATTCAGAAAAGCTATGAGGAGAAAGCAAAACAATCTCAAAACAATTTGCTTCACCATTGCAAGACACAAAAAGAAAAAAAAGGGAGACATTTTGTTCCAAAAGTTTGTGCCATCTGTGACACATTTATCAACCGTGGAGAAGAAAGGTTCCTTTCACTTCAAATATTGAGAAATCAATCTGTAAAGCAATTTCTATTGTTTGAAAATGTTGACTGGACTGACACTCCAGTTTCTGAAAATAAGAAGGCTTGTATCAAACAAATCATTCACAACTAGGTTGGGAGAAGAGTTGAGGTCATATGTTTTTCAACTAAATCTTATATGACTTTGAAACAGGTGAAAGGGCCCATTTGGGTGCATGCAAAGAATACAGCAACACTACATTGAACTCTATGAAGGATCCAAAAAGATCTGGAGACAAACCACCACCTTTTGCAATTGCAAATGGATTACTAACAGGTTATTGCCTGCATGTACTTAAACAGCAATTGAACAAAGTAGAATTGGCTCTTGTTTCAAAAGGAAGAGTAAATAAACACTTGTTGTTTTCTTACACAACAGGTGTCCACAAAAGTATTCAGGGTTATCATACTCTCGTCAAAACAGGAGGGCGACAACAAAGAATTGTATGAAGACTAAGTTGAATCTGATGACCAAACTTAATCTCAGACTACTCTTCCACAGACTAACCAAACAAAGTATGTGGCTATAATTCAGGTGGAATTACTTCTTAGAAATTTTACTACCAGTGATCAGAGAGCTCATGATCTGAAACGTAGTACTGAAGTCAATATCAACAATATAAAGGCAGCATTGTAATGACTGAAAGAAAATAATACCCTATACAATAACAGCACTATTGATGACAACCAGATCAGTGTATCTGTAGTGATCACACTATGATTAGAAAAGTTCAAACAACATACTCAAGGATTACGAAGACAAAAATTTATTGGAATCTTTTGTACCTAATTTTCCTTTTAGAATTCTTGGGAGCAGAGATATTGATGGCCTACAGAGAAATGGTACAGAGTTCTATGCTTATCTTGCAAGCTGCTCCCAATTTTCACAACAGTCCAGAGCTTGTTATTGTACTACACAATATTTTTGAAGCAAGAGAATGCTTACTTCAGCCATTACACAAGTACCTGCAGATCAGAAACTTGGTATTGCACAATTAACAAGTGATAAATTGGATTGTGCTCCTGATAGACTTGTGCGTAACCATCAACGAGGAGGTAAATTGCCAGAAGAAAGCCCTGTTGATATGTTTCTCAGTAAGATTCAGGTAGTCACTCCAAGTATGGATCATACTAGTGCAAGTGCACAGAAAGCAAGGGGGAATGTTTTCAATGCTATTAGCACATGGTCTTCCAAGTGTCATGTTCACTATATCTCCTGAAGATCTCTATAACTATAGGATATGAGTCATGACATCAGAATCTAATGAGGCTGATCCAACTGTTCCAAAGATAACTGATCACAATGCAATTTTGAATGAGTTTGTAATTGATTGTGCAAACACATGACTTCTGCATCCTGGCCTCTGTGGTCTTGATTTTGAACAAGTAATTTGAATAACAATTTCAGATTGTCTGGGATGGAAGTCATCAGGAAAACTGATCAATTAATATCTGCATCTGGACCATTGGATGCATGGGCCTACTGTGTTGAAGGACAAGAAGGACAAGGACAAGGGCATGCATGTTTTCTGTTGTGTGTGGGGATGGGATGAGTAACGCATTGAGAGGCAATATATTTTCAATCCTTGTTTAGCAATATGCAAAATGTATCATGCCAACAAAAATGCATGCAATTATTGACTCCTCTGCTCTAGTACAAGTAAATGCACAAACTACCAATCAACCATGATAGTAGCATGCAGCAATTGCTGGTGGTACAGGAAACTCAAAAGTAATTCATTCTGCTGTGTGATATTATTGTAAGATGCTTTGTGCAGATTTGGGAGTGAACTTTTTGAACAGAATGCTACCTGTTGCTGGCATCACTGGAACAGCAGCAGCTAACATCAATGGGGAAACAACACATAAAGCTTGACATCTAAATTGTAACAGATCTAACATTACACAGGACGATGATGCATGGGAAAATGAGGAGACTTGTTTTCTCATTGTTGATGAGATATCATTTGTTGCTAGCATCAAACAGCTAGATAGCCCGTAATCTACAGCTGGATTGTAGATCTGCTGGCCAAGCCTATATGATAAAGGAACAGGCTACAAAGAAATGTGCAATAAATGATGAGATATTTTCTGAATTTCTCAAAACAACACATTCAAAGAATATAAGAAATTGCAGGTTGTCAGATAACAGAACTGTAATCAAAGCTTCAAACTTAAAACTGCTGACAGAAAAAAAATACAGAGACATGGCAGATTTTCAGAAATATTGCTTAATGACTGCTGCCTCCTAAGATGCTCATAGTAGTACTACTGTTGTTGTAGATGGAACAAAATCTTCCAAAAGGATAGATCCAATGCTTAGATGATTGTATGTTGGAAGACCTGTCATGATTAATGACAACATAGATGCTGAGAGATCTAAAGAAAATATGTGGCTTCACACTTGTCCTCATTTTGTTTTTGCAGTGTACTACTAGTAGCTAGTAKTAGTACTAGGCGTAGTAGTAATGGTAAGAAGCAAGAAGTAGTAGCAGCTAGTACTACTAGTAGTACTTCTTGTTGTGTTACTAGCCAGCCAATTTTTAATCTTGTTCTGTGTACTAGGATTTGTATTGCAATCTACTAGACAGGTTCATGCATCATGAAAATTCTGAAAAAAATTCTAGAAAGGGGTGTGAATGTTTGTGTATGATGAGGGGTATGATACTAGTACTACTAGCTACAAGTAGTAGACAATGAGGGTTTTCAATCGATACTGTAGCTGCTTGTGACTGAGGTTTAGCCTAACGTACCGGTGCGTCACGACAATGATGATGTGTGATCTGAGATCTGAATCACGATTATTGGTCAACGTTACGAGAATAATACGAATTCGTACGTGTTACGTAGGACCAAAGTAGTAAGTCGATTCACTTTCCGTTTTTTCGAAGTACTTTTACTTAGTATCGTTTTCGTCCCAACTTAGAAAAGGTTGGACACAAAACCCCGACGATCGAAGATCAGATTCGATAGAATGACTCGACTAGCACCATTTCTATTTGCACTTACAGTTTTCGCGGTTGCGGTATTGTCTGGAGTTGATGCCCTGGCATCTTCTTCGTCTACGCGGAGGGGGTTCCTGAACCAGGCCAAGGCAGCCGGGGCGGCCTTGGTGGTTGGATCAACACCAGGGATTGCTGGAGCCTATGAACGCCGGGACGTTGGAGAGGAGGGGAGCATGTCTGCGGCGACAGCAGCTTTTAACGTACAAGCCGTGAAGACCAACAGCCGCCTGGAAGCCGATGGTTTCAAGCTGGATACGTTGGAAGAAGAGAAGGCAAAATTAAGCGCCGCCATGGCTTCCTTTTCCTACGAATCTTCGACCGGGGGCAAGAAAAAGACAGGATATGGAACGAACAATGCATCCAAGCCGACCAAGACGAATTGAATCTCAATTATGGTTTAGACCGTTACTTTAATATATTTGAAAGTGTGATCACAGCACAGATTACTTAATACTAGATTAAATTAAACATTTTGAATCTAAGAAAAGCAGCTACGTGCCAGAGAACGGTGTTTCTCATGGACTATTCCCAAAAGCAATGCTCTCCTCGAGAGCGATGCTTGCTGCCATTCCCGTCGGAAGAGCAAAGTTGTCTTCCACATCGATTCCGCCCCAATTCATAAGTCCGTCCACGAGGCTCTGCATCGAGTTTGTAAGCGCTTCGTTGTTCTCAGTTTCATACGCCGTTTCTTCGCTCGATTCCCTATCAGAGGAGGCTGAAGATTGTATTACCAATGTAGATTTCCTGCTTTGATCGTCTTCGCTTTGTTCGTGATCGGTATTGGAATCTACCTCCGAAGGTTGCAATATAATACCACCTGGAGCGAGGCTTAATTTGTCGCCGTCGTCGGGTATTTCTTCAGTTTCCTCTGGAATTGGCGTTGCAAATGCTAGGGAGACAATTTGATCAGGTTCCTCCTTTTTAGACGAAGAGTCAGTGTCCTCAATTTTTTTGGGCTCCTTCTTCGATGCAAGAGATTCGATTGGCAGTTTCAGATTTCTGTGTTCTACGGCGACGATCGATTTCCGGCCTTCCCCGGTACTACCACCATGGTTGTATATGGTAGTTTTCACCTCTGGCTCTTCGCTTACGGGGTTGCGCTCAGGGATGGTCGACGCTTTCCAGTGTTGTGTGGAGGGGATGATGGTGGAGCCTACGTATCCGTCTCGGAGACAAGACCAGGCGTCCACCGCTCGTCGAGTGCCCTCGTGCTGGGACTTCGCATAATCGAGACAAATCTTCAGGACCTCACGTTTTCGGTGAACGTTCCAGCACTTGACGTCGTGCGCCAGCGCTAGTGTCGCCCTCCGCTTTACTGTTTTTGCTTCGTGCTCCACTACTGCAGCGTGAATGGCGTGGCTCTGCGCGATCGATGCCCTTGTCTGGGCGGCCCGGGCTTCGTGAACATTCGCAAATTTTCCCTTCTCGCACAGAGATTTTGCCGCGTGGGCCGCCTTTACCGCCGCGAGTTTGGCGTTGCTTCCCGTCCGAGCTGCCCGAACCGTAGAGCGGACGTCCTCCGCTGCGGAAACCGCCGAATGAGCCAGCGCCGACTGCCATGAAACATCTGCAAGGAAACAAAAACAATGAACATGAGATATTCCAAACAAGCAAGGAACGATGTCTATACTACCTAACACAAACCGCTAAAAGCCGGCGTACCATCAATTAGCGTTAGATCGCTTTCTTCAAACACCTCCCTGCTTTGCTCCATTCCAGAGAGCCCCTTAAGGAGAGCCCGCTGGGACACGAATTTCCCCCTCAGACCCTCCCAGGAATCCAGGCCCCGCAAAATGTCGAGGTTCAGAGCAAAGCGCTCCCTTCGCGACCGTTCTATGCCACAGCTACTCGCCGAGCACCTTGACAGGGTATTGTCCACGGATCCAATGACCTCGCGGAGCTTGTCGATGTTTTCGTCAATGGCCATTTCCCCCAGGTAGACCCTATGGTCGTCTTCCGTTCCGTCCACCACGAGACCTTCCTGGATGGGGGGCGCACCGTAGCGAAAACGGGCTTCCTTTTTCGAACCGGTGGAATGCTGCCTCTTGGTAGATTCTCCCACGTTCAGTATCTGCCTCTCGGGTGCGGGTACCGGTAGCGGCAGAAGGTCGTATCCATCGCCGTCTTCCTGGTCCACGATGCAATTGTCGTCATCTTTGCTTGATGCCAACTCATCTCCGACGTGCAGGACGCCTTCTTCGAAAGAATCCCCTTCCATTTGCTCCGGATTCTCGTCCGAGTTGTTCCTGGCAAGGTTGCGATCCGTTTCTGTTTCGTCGGCCCACCCAGGGTTTCTCGAGTTGTTAAAGGTCGGCAGCGATGCGTGTTGTAGACGGGCACTCGCAGAGGATAGGCCCGTGGTTTCTAGTACCCCGTGGAGCTGGAGTGCGACCGCTGCCTGAGCCGCGGTCCGGACCCATGTGAGGTTGGGAGGCATGGAACCCCCCTGCCCCTGAAGACTCCAGAACGTAGAAGTTTTTCCGTCGTCCATCTTTGGCGTCTGCTCGTTGATCTCCCTCGCGGCCCGGGTGTGCTCCTCCAGGGATTGTTTTGCGGCATCGAGTCCCGATTGGCTCGCCTGTTTTGAAAATTGATAGAGCACACGACAAAAAGGTTAGAACAAAGAAATGGCGAAGCGGGTTGGATAATTTTGAGAAACTGGATTCCTACCGTTTTGGCTTGTATTTTTGGTTTTTCGTACCTTCAATATTGTATTCAGGGGGAACGATGTTGACAGCGCGGGGTGCTCCAAGAGGTAGTTCAGATACCGTTCCAGGTGTCGGGCTTTCCCAATGGGTGAATTTGGGTTGTAATAGGTCTTCATCGTGTTCCGTATTGAAGCCGGGTTGCTTTTGGTTTTCGACAGAGAGGATTCTGTGGGGTGCTTTTTTGATGACGTCGACGACGAAAGCAACAAGCCGTCCGCGGTCGATCCGTAGCCGCTCCAGAGCGACCGAAAGCCCTCCGTCAGCATTCCCACCCCAGCTGCTGCAATCCCAACCCCAGCGTGGGCGAATTCTTTTCCGGCATGGGTCGCCGCAGCGATGGCCCCTCCGGTCGTGGTGGGAAAGACAGACGTCTCATCTTCCAGTTGGTTCCCGGGAAAGGGGGGCAGGATTCTCCCACACAAAGTGCCGCCCAGAGCCTTGTGAGAAACAAATGTGTCATGGAGCCACTTGATGTCCGTCACTGACCGACGGACGGTGGTTGCTTCGTCCTCCAGGATCATTCCCTCTCGCCGGTCGCGGCTTCGCAGGAGGGTAAGGCAAAACTCGAGGCCTTTCGACGAAGACGACGACGCGTTCGAAGACAACAGGAGGGGAGACTGCCCAAAGAGCTCGATTTTGACGCGGTCCCCCACCGCATACTCCCCATGCGTTTGTTTTCGCCTTCGCCGGAGGACGTCGTGGGCTGCCAGGAGCGAGTGGTCCAGATCGAGCTCCGGAAGGGGAAGGCGGGTCTGGGTATCCCGCTCGTATTTTGCCAGCTCTCGCGCGGTCAGCCGGATCGGTGGCGCTACGGGTGGCACGTTGACAACAACGAGCTCACTGCCGCGGGGGGCGTTGCGGTGCCGCATGGTCTGCTGCAAGTGCCGGCCGGAGAACCTCCGCTTGGCCTCGAGGTACTGGGCTAGCGCAATGAAGCGGCAAAAGACCATCCAGCCCTCCACACCGAGCATAGGTTCTCCCCCGTCCGGAGCACATTGTGAGGTGCTACAGCATACGACGGCGTTCCACACCTCTTCAAAGGTGGGAGAGCTAGGGGTTCCACCACGATTGACGGACGAATCGGTGGCCCTACCTCCGTGTTGCAGGTCTTCGTCGCGTCTCCAGAACACCGGGCAGCGGAGCGCCATGAATTCTTCCACTGTTGCCTTGACAATGAGACCAGAGGACTCAGTGTCCATGATGTGGAAGAGCCGGAGGGAAAATTCGAAGTCTTTGCGCAGGAAGACGAGTTCGTGGGTGGACGGAGAGGATTCTTCCGATTCGGAAAATGCCGATTCGTCGTTTCCGAGAAGAATTTCGAGAACGTAGGTAGTTTCGTCCCGCCCCTCGACTCGGCACAGAGATCCTTGATGGGGGGCTACCACTATCTGCTGGTGATCCTCGTGCATGTGTGCGTTCGATGAGGAGGAACCCCGGAAGGAGTAATTCCCAAACGAGTTCTGAAGGTCCGCTGCGGAAAACGCCATGCTGTTTGTATTTTTTCTTTTTCTTTCTATTCTAACGTTTCGTTTCGTTTCGTTTCGTTGTTGTGGCGTGATCTTTATTCTACAATGCTCTTCTTTTTGATCGTATTTGTGTCTGTACTTTTATTCTTTAGCGTGCGGGGTGTTGGCGACGGTGTCGATATCGATTTCAATGTGTATCTCGCTTAGTACGACTTGTCGACAAATGCAACAATAGCAGTGACGATTGTCGTTTATATGAGAGAAATGGCTGTGAGTTAGTGCGTTGAATTGTGTCGCGTTGGTGTTGTTACGAAGCGGATTGCGTATGTGATAGGAAAATCCTTCGCTTGGAAAACTCTAGAGGTATTGGGCGCCGAGAGTGAAATGGATTTGGTTGGGTGCGATTGGTTGATTTTATGCGTTCGATAGCTTGCATGGAAGGATACACAGCATAAAAGAAGCAACAATAGGCTAGTTCTAGTCCTAGCGAAAAACAGCGATCGCAATGGAGCTCTCTGTTCCGTAGCTCTTGGAACACGGGGAATCAATCCCGGTATGAACAGTCGGAATCGATGAAGGAAAGTTCCGCAATCTGAAATCAAGATTTCCAACGAATGCGATTGACTTGTATCGTGGTCGAGTTATGACCCTTTCTTATTTTCTGTTTGGGGTTTAATATGGAACGAAGGAGTGGAATTGAATTGAATACAATACACTCTTTTACATTGGAAGTTGAAGAGAGAGGACGATTTAGAGTTCGAATACGAGTAATACCATACGAACTCACAATAATTCTTCGGAGTCGTTCCTCATAAAGTTGGTGCTCGTACTGAGAATGAAATACAGTAATATTCTACAGGAACTGAATCGTAAATGGTACGTAGTTACCGTATGTACCTTCTACATTATTTTTCTTTGATACGATGTTGTCACGTAAGTGCAATTCGAGTAAAAGTAGTACGGTGCGTCCTCGTTTTCGTTGTTTGTAACATTCGGTACGGTACCTACGTACCGATACGTATTTTTGAAACGTTGACACGACTTTGCTCTACTGTAAGGTACTGGGTATGAATTCGTACGCACGAGTACTCGCTCGTACATGCCGTCCGTTACATTACGTTCTCGTTGTTCTACAATACGAGAACAGAAGAACAGAATATTGTCATGTGTGATGAGACAAATTCCTTTCCCACTCGGTACGATACGATAGTACACGCTTAGAGTACAGTATTGTACGGTACGGTAATACTGTATGTAATCTTTACAGCACTCGAACGTTGCGTTGTTCCATTCAATCAAGGGTCAAAATAGATTCCAGTACGGTACGTACCGTCTGAAGCGTAAATTCTATCAAACAAGAATCAAAATCAATCAAAATCGAATAAAAAAATCTGAATAAAACATCACATCAAGAGATCGATGATGTGCTGATTCTTGATTGGGTCTTTTGAGAGAATGCTAGAAGTTCGCATTATTAATCGGATCAGTCAAAAAATAATCGAAATCGCGTCACAATCACAACGAATGTTCCGATTTTTGGGTGTTTTGAATCGGATACGGAATTTTGGCGAATGATACACGTAGGATTTGTGAAGTTGTCACCACATCTTTCTATCTCTACTGTACGATACGGAGCACCGTGTCTCTATCGAATCATCATCCGACAATGGGGAATCCTCGGAGCAAACAACCCAAGAAAATCGCCCTGGTCGGGTCTACGGGTGGCGGAACGGCGACTCTGGGCCACACAGATGTGACCGGCCTCGTMGAGATGATTCGGCACCACCTGGGATGCATCCATGCCGGGGCTGACAGTAGTACCATTACAAGTACAGGTAATGACGAAAAGGCATTGCCTCCACATCCGCTGGTGACCCTGGGAACTGTCCTATTTGTCTCCCTCGATAGCGGCGCCGGATTTGATTCCGCCACTGGAGCAGAGGAGGCCACCCTCCTATTTCTTGCAGACGGCGGGAGAGAGATGATTGTTCGAGACCGCCTCGATCGAATCAACGACACTATGAGAGACTTCGAGAAGGGAATCGCCCGTGACTTCCAAAACAATGAGCTGCACGGCATCATAGGCGTCTCATGCAAGCCATCGCTCGTCTCGTCAACCCTCCAGGCTGCTGCCGAGATGGGGGCCCCCCTGACCGGGACGGGCGGATCCTCGCTGTCCGAGGCGGCCTCGGCCTTCGAGGGGCTCCGGCTGATTGGCAACGCTGGGGGCTCCGTAGGGACAACGCCCGAAACCAAGGCCGTATCCTTTGCGTCTGCCTTTGCAAGCGAGTGGGGCTTGGGGTACGATCCGGCGGCAGCGGGAGCGGCGATGCGGAAGCGAACGCAAACGGCAAGCCAGACCAATCCGAGCTCCACAGCCACAGCCACGCCAACATCCACCACAGCGGACCGCCCCCCCACCTGGAAATCAGTGCTCAATTCTTGTCTGCCAGGATTTTGGGGGGTGATGCTGCTGAAGCGGATCCTTCGGACCACACCTGTCGGGGACTGGCTTCCGGAGGGCGATCGCAGGGCTCTGGAGTACGCCATGGAATTCCACGTGTTGCCCATGGTATGCGCCGTGGTCATGGCAACGTCCCGGAGAAAGGTCGAGAGCGTGCAGATGGCAGCACTGCTGGCGGCGGCAGCATGTCGAGGGTCGATCCTCGGCGGGTTGCTCTCGGGCTGGTGCGCCGCAATTCTTGAAGAGCGGTTGCTATACGCTTCGATCCTGCGGTGGAAACTCCCCGCTACATTTACGAACCTACTCACGGGGGGGCTGGTTGGGGTGGTCACTGCCACCCTTATGGCTCCCCTGAGTCCGTATCTTGGAGCTGCAACGGGGAAATTTCGGAACCTGACCGCCGTGTATCTTTGGGGATCGGCGGGGAGCAGCAACGACAACAATGATATCCACGAGTCCCTTCGTCTGGTGTTCTCGTCGTTGCTGGGCTGTCTATTTTGCTATGGGAGCAAGGTGGGTTGGTGTAAGTATGGCTGTCGTCGGTATGAACTGGTGGATTGGTTGTCCTCGTTGTTCTAGCGATTTCTTCGGCTGTGATGCGATGCACACAGAATGCTGATCCAATGTTTTTCTATATTCCAATCTCGTTCTCTGGTTCCAGACCACTCGATATTCCTGCCCTTAATTCTGATCGAAATGGAGCTTGGGGATCCCTCAATGCTCGGCGCCCTGGATGTCCTTGCCCTGGTCCTCGTGTGCGCTGGGGTGTGCCTCGGTCTTTTGGTAACCGGCAACGGCGAAGACAAGGGCCTCGCCAGGCGGGGCATGACCACTAATCTGCTTTACGGAGATTTTGTAGAAGCCTACTACCCACACGCAGAGAAGTACCCCCTCGTGAATGCGGCGGGTTACGCCGCGAGCGCTCTCTCCTCGGCGATTCTGACCACTGACTGCCGGTCCTCGGCGTATCTGCCGTTCCCGGCCGCGGTCTGGTTGGCCGACGACAGGGAGGCCTTCCTCGCCGCGTCTCTGATCGCCTTTTTTATTCCTTTCCTCGGTACAGTGGTCAATCACACTCTGTTCGTGCGCAAACGCAAATCCGAATAGAGGCAGGCACAACACAGGTCCCAAACGCAAGATAGTGGTCGCACGATACACCTGACAGACGTTTTGGGAAAAACTAAATATATCACTAGGTCGTAATTTCGAGTCAGCAAATGAAGTCTAAAAGGCATTTTGTCAAACGTCGAGTGTTATGATATTCCGCTGTAATGACAGCGAACTCGCACTGCGGACACCCATTCCATCCCATTTGATATTGCATTATGTTATTATACGAGTTCATTTTGGATAGCATAATTTTGGTGGGATTTGTAATCGACACCGGGTGCGTCCCAACCCTTTGCGCGCAAGTCGCCTGCGATGTAGTTGAGCCTCTTAGCATTAACACCGAAATCAAGATATCCGATTCGGCTGCTGGAGCGAACCTGTACCCCCTTGGTGTCGAAGCCCTCGATCAGAGCGAACTCGACGTCGTCGATATACCCGTTTTTCAGGCTCTCGAACTGGGCGTACACGTAATTCTTCTCACTGGTGATGATCTTGAAGCCGCCTCCGTCGACGCCCGCCTGACCCGGCTGGTAGGCATTGATGGTAGAAACGAGCTCTGAAAAGGCCTTTTCAGAATCATAGCCCTCGGGCCACTTCCAGGATGGGATGTAGTGGTCCGGATCGTCTTCCTGGATTTCGGTCGACACGAAGCAGTTCGGTGCAGCCCCACAATGCTTAAGGCCCTTGTATTCCTCCCCGACGATGTCCGTCCGCGTGGCAACACCTAGGTCCTTCGGCTTGGGGCCCCTCCGCTTAGGACGGTCGTCGTATTTCGTGGAAATCTTGTTCTCGAACGCGCTTGCTGCCCCTGGACCAGTGGCAAGGAAGGCAAGGCCCGCGAGCCCGGTGTTCAGAACGCTCTTGCGTGACACCAGTCCGTTGCTGCTATTGCTGCTACCACCCCTCGGATTATTGGTTGGGGCCAGTGCGACTGCGTTGTCAAAACGGGCTGCGGACAGCACGAGGCAACCGGTCATCAGGAGGGATTGTCGGAGGTCTTTCATTGCGTTCCGACGGGTTAGGATTCTTCTTTGTTTGAGGGGCGGGAAGACACGAGATGAGGTACTGAAGTTGCTTTCAGAGGGCTTGTTTTGAATTCCTTCGTCATTCGCATACGCCATTACCGAGTATCAACCGCATTCGTCGATCGCCGCGGTTTGGGAGCCATATTCAGCTGAGAGGGGAACTAACGCTTCATCAGATGATGGGATGAGTTGTTTCGTTTCGACACCCTCGAAGAAGAATTTCTTTCCGATTGATCGAAACAACGCTATCGGTTGCGCGGTGACGTACGTACGACTCCTTGTACGAGTACGTACATACTGTCCTATGCTACTACATGACTCCAAAAGATGATGTGTCTCATGTCTCATGTCACATGTCACATGTCTTACGGTATGGCTCGGCTCGTGAATGAAAAGGAATGAATCAATCATGATTGATGAGAATCATTCGATTCGATCGAAGCCATGAGAGGCAATACCACGAAGTAGCAAAGCAATCGATTTGTACTGGTCCAAACGGCTCAGTACGTACGGTACGGTACGTAAGATAAGATCCTCGTACATCATGTACTAAGATACGTACGTACGTACCCATGCATGTGCCATGTGCCATGTGCCATGTGCCATTTACGTACCATGTTTACGAGTTACGAGTTGTACGTACCAGTCCTAAGGCAGGTAAGGTATGAGACTTCGAGTACATACGGTACGTACGAGTACGGCTACCCGTACTCACCGTATTAAAATTGCTCACAACTTCCACTCCTTCGCATCTTTTGAATCGGTGCACAAAGATTTTTCATTTGAGACAAACAAGTCGTTGTGATCAGTCCACTTTTCTCTGTTTGTAGCACTGGAACTACTCCAACTACTCAGGCTTCGTCAAATACATCAAGGTTCACAGTCCCATTGGTGCTCCGGGTCATAATAATTATTTGCTGAATGCCCTGAAACTTTATGTACGTAAAAAAGAGAGACTTTTGCAATCCCTACGGATTAATCTGCGTCGCCATGGTTACGAACACATGTCGCATCTTCATCGCTGAATCGTGATGTTTTCTTGTTCATGAATATTTGTACGTGTATGGTACAAAGGAGTTGTGCACTAACAGCATTATCGATTCGTTCCTTTCATGCAATGCTTTGTACAAATCCAATTCGTAAAGTTTCACAACGAAATTCTGCGAATCACAATGAAACCGCTGAGACCCAGAACGATATACGGAGGCGCGATCCTCCTCGGCGTTTTCTTTGCTGCGAGGAGTGCCAACGCGTTCTCACGAGCTCTTCAACTCGTTGCTAAAAACCATGCAATGAAAAGCGGTCGAGAGACACATACGCACGTTCATCACGGCATTGGAAGACGGCATCCCAAACCAGTCACTCGAACCAAAAACGACGCTCCTAGAACCGTCTCTGCGTTGGTTGTTGATCCTTTCTCTTCCACCGAAACGCTATCGGTCCTTGGTGATTCTCTTCGGAATATGGGGAGGGACCAAGCGGAGCAGCTTGCGGGGCCTTTTTTTGGGGCCTCTCTCTTCCCCTACCTGGCCTTTTTGTGGCTGCTGGCAAGGGACGAAAACGAGTGTCCGAAGGGGGTCACGGTCGGGTTTGCCACGTGCCTGCTCTTTGTTTTTTTGACGATCCCGGCAGCCATCGCTGCACAGGTACTGTACGGTGTGTCCCTGGCCGATAGCGATTGGCTCCACGGATCTGCAGAATCCCTGCTCACCGTCACCAACCTAGTCACCGTGGTTGCATTTCGACAGGCCCTGGAGTCTAAGGAGAAAGATGTTGCGATGCCCTCATCGGCGACGAGCTGGAGCCCAATGGTATGGCTAGTTGTGGCTCTAACTGCATTGGTGTCGGTGACCGCTCTGGTTCCTGCCGTGTCGGATCCTTTGGTGCACACGAGGTATCTGGGTGGCTTTATGGACCTGCCGAATGGCTTCTTCGATTCCCTCGGGGCGAACCCCGAGCCTGAAAACGCGCTATCGATTACCACCTGGATTATCCATGTCTCTAGTCTAGTGGAATTTCTAGTAGCGATGGGCTTTGCCTGGCGGTGGGCCACGGTGGTTGACAACCCAACCTGGAAGGGCCTCACGTGGGGGCTCCTCCCGCTCCATAGCTCCGGGATCACGGCATGCACATACCACATCTTCTACAACCGGATCCCGATACTGGTGCCCCTTCAAGCCTTCCTGACGTGTGTCGGGAATACAACCGCTGCGCTCGCAACGTATCGGATTGCGCGGTCCAACGGATGGAAACCCGAGGGCATCAATGAGCAGTGGATCTTATTCGCGGATTCTCTCACCAATGCCCCCACGACAGAGGATGGCGACGCTTCCTCGGTGTCTGCCGAAGGAGAAGCAGAAACATTGGTTGGCTTTGAGGACCTGGGGGATGCACTCGCCGGAGACAACGACTACAGCTTCCTGATCAAGCTCTTTGCGGGATGTGCGGTAGCGTCCTACGTCATCAAGTACGGGGAGATATATTTCGACTTTTTTTACGAGGCGGATCTGTGGGCGGGGCTAGCATTTATCTTTATCCCGTCCGGACTGAACGCCTACAAGTGGTATCGACGAGGACAGGACCCCAGTTTCGAGGGCTGGTTTTGAAGGGCCAACGAGCGAACGGTATGTGATGGGTTGCCCTGTGCCAAAACGCTAAGGCCAACTCCCTCCACAAAAACTGAATAAAGGTTTCGGCATCTTGGTGCGACATGGTTTGTGCTTGCTCTCTCCACAGATTGCTTGCTGCACAGTAGCTAAATAGCGTTGCACGCATAACTATACCAAATGTGTACTATAACATAGCGACTTAAAGCTATCTGTTGCAGACTGTTCCATAAGTTCAAACCGTATGCCTACTACATGAGTGCTCTTATGATAAAAACTGGCAGTGGAGAAAGGATGCCAGAACAAAAATGCCGTGAAGCTGCGATAAGCTCTGAGGTTGTAGGAAGAGTCGTAAATGTCAAACATCTGCCGATCGTGTCGACAAAAATGAATACTGAGTCTGCACACAATTCTTCTCCAGCAAGCAATCCGACAACACACAAAATAACTATTGGCCCAGTAAGCCGATCATAATATTGTGAATCCCCCAGTTTGACTCTTGAAGCACACCATCCCCGTAGTTCCTTATCAAGGGCATCAATTGTAGTTTGTTGTGTTCAAAGCATCGGTTTCCGTGAATGTGTAACTTACTGGACTGGAATCACCAATGAGAAGGCTCCCCGTATCGTTAATGCTATTCCTACTGAGAAGGATGGACGACAAGAGCTCTCCGTTTGCATTCCAAATGACGGAGAGGAAACCCGGTCCCATTGCAGCAGACTCGTGCTTTGTGGTGGTACTAGAATTACGATCAAACAACGAACCAATTTCTTCAACGTAATACTTACGATTCGTGAAATCTTCGTCCGGTCTCATTGGCGAGTGAAAGGTGACGTTGCGACAACAATCATATCCTTCGTTCATGATCCCCTGAATGTCGTGGTGTGAAATGTGAAGCGTTGACGGAACCACCGGTTTGGCGAGGTTATCCTCCTTGTTTTTGATCTTGCTGTCACTCACTGCTTTGTGAGTGTGATGTAATGGGGCGTCGAGATTCAGAATCGAACAATAGTCGTCATGGACGTCCACGGACACAGTCTTGTCTTTGGCTTCGTTTATACAGACGGCCCCATCGGTGATGGAACGAACAATTTCGGTTGTGAATCTCGTATATCGAGGCGTTGCACGGGGATCGACGTGCGTGTACGCACCCTCCTCGGCATGGTCGTCGAAGTTCAGTTTTTTCTCCATCAGCCTTTTTTCCATTTTGCAGATTGTCTTGAAGTCTTTGTCCAACACGTGGACATCTGTAGTAACGATTAGTTTCCCCGCCGAAGTGAGCCTCCGACCCTTGATCTGGGAAGCCACAAATGCTCCCTCTTTATAAGATCTTGGGGTGCCGTCCTCTGTAGCGCTTATTTCCACGTTGAAATAACCGAGGTTGGTAAGGACGTCTTCGTGGCGGTCGTGGCATGACGATGAGAGGGCGAGAAACATCGACGTGTTCAAGAACCGTTCTACCGATGTTTCATTTTCACTGGTTACACCATTCTCGGAAGCTTTGTCGGTAACGCGGTGAGCTTTCGAGAGCAGAGAGGCAACATCCGCGAACAGGTCTGGATCTACGGCTTGAATGTGAGAAGTCTTCTTTCCTCGAATCTGGTGGTCATACTTGAGGCTCCAGTGCATCTGCTTCAGGTGAGGTGGACCTCGAAAATGATCTCCTGACGCCCGAACGTAACCCGTCTCCCTCTCTTGTAGCCACGGATCGATCAGCCGTTCGCACTCTTCGAGGTACGATGGGCAGGGTGAAAATATCTCGTTGGACAATCTAACCTGCTTGGGATGGAGAATCAACCCCGCTCGGTAACCGGCATTCGCACCACCCTGGAAATGATCTATCGCGGCACCATCCTCGATTCCCAGGACGAGAGGCGGTGCATCGATCGGAAACACCCCGTGTCGGAGGCACGCGTTTATAATTTCCCACCGGAATTTTGGAAGTAGCGTGTCGTCCCTGCACTGAGCAAACCGAAAGTAATCGCCCGATCCCGCGATCACACCCTTGACCTGCGGGTAGTTCGCGAGCATGTCGTCCAGGTTGTGGAGACCCAATGGTGTCTCGCAGATGATCTGTAGCCCACCGTGGCTCTTCAGCCAGTCTTCGTCGATGTGATTGATCATGTCGATGTATTCTTGGATATCGCGAGTGTCGTTGCACATAGGGAGCATGAGCCAGTAAACCTGCTTCTGCTTCAAGCTAGTGGACAATTCGTCGTAGATGGTTGACGTGCCCTCATTCGTCTTTTTGTCGCGTTCCAATTCCGTCACTCGAACGGACAAAGGTGTGTTTGGGTAGATCTCGTGTGCCTGGTGCAAACCCTTCATCTATAAAACGAAACGTGGAAGAAGAAGCGAAGAAGCGAAGAAGCGCACACTTTGTTACTCATGTTGTTCCTAACAGATCAAAATAGACGAGAACAGGGAAGAGAGAACTGACAACCCGATTTCGGGTTTCAAATGCCAAATTCGAACACCGTATACATACTACACTCTCTATACTTACAACATTGCCCCTTTCACCAGGAGGACAACCGTCTTGAAAATCATACACCAAGACATCACTCTCCATTGTTTCTCTCCAGAAACTGTTTCGTTTCAATCCTGCTTGTGGACTCAAGAAAAGATGGCTCCTAGCCAGATGTTTCATCTTGGCGGAATCCATCATCGATTTCAACATCATTGCCGAAGCTCGGGTTCTAGTAGCTGCCATGGCAATATTTCCTTTTATAGTGGGTAGAAGATTGTGGATAAGTAGAACTGATACTGTATTATCAAACCATTGGGGTTTGCTTGCATGTTTTTATTCGCATCTCATGTGAGAATTATATAAAAACTGTTGGGAGGTAGGATGTGGAGAAAAATTCAGATGCGGTACTATTGTAGTACGTATTCGCTTCACCGAATACGAGTACTCCACCCACGTGCCGCAATATTAAAAGTGTCTGAAGCTGCTCGTCCCATAGAAACAAATCACGTAAGCAGATTTCTGATGGGACGCGGGGATATTCTAGCGGCGATTAATTACCTGTTCTATGGTTTTCTCACAGTTTCACAACGTACTACTATACGTTCAGGTAATTGTTAAAGAGCGTTCTCTCACAGTTTCACCACGTACTACGTTCAGATGTCAACAATAAATGCCTTGCATGTCAAGCTTAGTAAAGTACGTAGTAATTATTAAAGACGTGGCATTCGTGTAAAAGGCTATGCGATAATCGATGGATTCTATTTCCCGGGCGAAATGCGCAGTTCCAAATAGTTATGAAAGTTTTCATACAGTATGTAGTACTAACAAATAAATTCATACACGCAAACCGCTCAAGCAGTATCTGTTTCCACTTTAAGTATTCCATCCGTAAAGGTGCAACTCAAGCATGTTTCCATGACAAATCAAAAAGACTGCGCATCTTCTTGTTTCGTCTGTACAGTTGCAAGTCAGGCATCAGTTACGATGGTTACACGACAAACAAAAATACATTCGAAGGGATAGGATCCATAACTCGCCTATCCTGCCGTACGCTGTGGAGCTCGAGAATCAAACAAAAAACAATTGAATTAAAAAATCGACGCGGTCGATGTATTGATCATGAACAATAGATACGGTTGCAGTGTATCGCAACTCTATACGCCGTGCGGCGGAATAAAGGACGGTAGATCACAATGTCGTATCGCAGTGACGCGTTGACGAACATTGCGAACGACAGCTCTCGGAGACCAAGTCCCCTAGATCGAAGCAAGCAACGCAACGCAACGCTCGTAGCTCATTTTCCGACGCCGTGGTTTACCGGAACACACATCCAATGAAATGGAGAACAACGAGCGGGTTGCCACAACTGCGGTAGCACGGGACGGTATATAGTGCACTGGTTCGTGAATCTCGGAGACTGCGGGGAGACATCGATGCACCCCGGATGGCACTCGAATGTCTCCCGTCGGCAACGGAGCAGTGCGTTCAGAGATTCTTTGCGACCTGTGCGCTCGGTTGATCCACCTCTGCATCGCTTGTACCGCGTGAAATGAATAGTGGTCTAGTACGCACTCTATTAAAGGACATTTTCGTACATTACAATTTATGTTTCGATGGACCGAACGCCGTCGGTGACACGGTTCAGTTCCATGCAAAAACTGGAAATCGCCCTGTCCCATGCCCCATTGGGGGAATCGTTGCTGTGGAAGAGAACCAGGTTCTCCACCTGGTCGATCGATCCCTCGAGGCTCCCGTCTAGGATCATGGTAGCCACGATCTTTTCCGCTTTTTCGTTCCCGACCCCCAGCACCAGGGCCAGCTCGTCTACGTAGATCGAGCGATAGATGCCCGACACCGCGAGCATGTTGTGCTCGACGACGCCCCGCTCCATGATGGTCAGGCCGTCTCCCATGATGGCCCTCTGGTGGGGCTGGAGGGACGCCTCGAACCCGACGAGTTCCTCCTTGCGGAGGATCTGTCCCCCGTACATCTTGGTGAGGATGGTGGCGTGCGTCTCAAAGTCCGAGAGGCCGCGGAGCTGGTCGAGGCGGGGGTCCCTGGAGATGTGTCCCAGCACGCGGTGCCGCTGCGGGCCGGACGGCGCCAGGATGGCGCAGGTCGCCGCCCGCCCCAGCATGGTCAGCAGGTCCTCGGCGCGGATCAGGTCGCCCGAGCTCTGGCTGAGGTCGTGGTAGCGAGAGGCGGCCTGCAGAAACTTTCGGTTGGAATCCAGCACCCGTGCGTACGTCGACTTGTAGCGCAGGATGAGCGCCGCGTGCTGGTCGGCGTTCTCGATCGATTCCACCACCGATCCGGCCCTGCCGACCGCCGCGTCGGACTCGGCGATCATGTCTTCCTCCAGGAAGCACTCCGCGATTTTGACGTACACTGGGGCGGTCGGTGCAACGGGTGTGGTGTGGTTTGAGTTTGCGCGGACAAGGGGTGTGTTAGGGTTCGAAACGGAATCCAACGAACGCGGGGCGTTGCGCTCGTGGTTGCGACAGGAACGAGTTCGTTTCTATGGCCGGAACCAACCGGCGCCCGAAAAAAAAACACAACGGGGATTGGAACGGATTCCACACGGCGACACCGGAAGCAAAACAAACATTTCTTACCGTCACACTTCTCGGCGGCGCTGAAATAGTACACGCTGTCTCTGTCGTCGTGCATCCGCATCCCGGAAAGGACGCCCGCGGCCGCCGAGTAGTCCCCCTCTTCGTTGACGTTGTAGTCGAAGAGCATCTGCCGCAGCTTGTTGTCCGCCGCACCCTCCACCGGTGTCGCGGGCAGGTGCTTCAGGGTTTCCAGAAAGACGTTCCGTACCTGCGTCGACGAAAAGGCCCGCGGGAGAAAGGTGGGTGATCCGACCGCGGTCTCGATCAGATAGGATGCCAGGCTGCGCTGCTCCCCCTGCCCCAGCGAGTGCCACGACGAGGGACCGTACGAGAACACGGCCGCTAGGGATCCGTAGTCCGCGGTCTGCAGGGCGCTGTCGATTGTTTCCACGAAGCCTTCCATCGTGGGATAACAGCGGTGGTGCGGTGTTCGGAGTCAAAGACCACGGCCTTTTTGGGATTGCACGGTGGGTCCTAGGCGGCGACTGTTGCAAGGAAGTGTCGCTCTTCGGTGCTCGAATGCATTGACAAGAACGATTGTTGATTCTTGATTGTCTCCGATTGTCTTGTCTTGTCTTTTTAGAACATCGTCGATTTGGGATATTTTCCAAAATGACTCAAGATTCCCGTGGACCCCCAATTCCCGTGGATTTCCGGGAGAAGATTTAGCTGCTCGTGCAGTACGTACGTCCACCGTACTGTACGTACTCGTCCGTATTACTTCTACTGAGAAAAAGAAATGGAAGGCCCGTGCTTTCGAAACAACAGGAATAAGCAGCACTCATTCGCTGTACCTGTTTGTTTGTTTGTTCGGTTCGACGACCCCACGAGACCACAACAACACCAAGACCAACCACCACCACCCCCGCAAAAAATGGTAGACGACCGGAGAGCCAGGCTGAAGGCACTGGCGGCCCGGGCCGGCAGAACCAAAGAATCCGCCCCGGACCGCGGGGCTTCGAGCGCGAGCGCGGGGGCAAACAACAGCAATGGCAACGACCCRCCCAGGATTTCCTTCCGCAACTACGCGCCCACCGACGGCTCCCTCGCCGGAGGATCGTCCGGGGGGGCCGGCCCGTCGGCCTCCAAGCGGCAGCGCACGGGGCAGGAGCCGGCGGCGGCGCCGCGTGCGGCCGCCTCGTCCTCGGAGGCGCTGAAGAGCGCCCTGAGCGAGGCCAGGGAGGAGGCGGCCGTTGGACACGGGGGCAGCAACAGCAACAGCAGTGCGAACACCCACGCAGCCGCCGGGGCGACCGTCACGAGCCTGGCGCCCAAGAAAATCAACTGGGACCTCAAGAGAGACCTAAGCGACAAGCTTGCGAAACTGGAACGGCGGACGCAAAAAGCAATCGTGGAGATCCTGAAGGAACGGCTGGAATCGGAGGCCGCCGAGGCCGTCGACGAGGACGGTGATTCCGATCTGGATTGATSGCATCGAAATCCATTCGCAGTGTAGATAGTAATATTCTAGTGTTACAGTATTGATTCAGCAACGAACTCTTTGTTTTTACGGCGTTGCAAATCCACACCCAAAAMATTTGAAAGTGATACCGAGTGAACGCAACCAGCGCAGAGTCGTCGGGCGAATTCGTCCATCGACTTCAAAAGCAAACACAGATAGACGCGCTTGGGTAAATGGGTAAAAGGCGATGCAAACAAAGACTGAATGGAAGAACAATTCCACGCACCACGCAACACGCAACACACAACACGCACACGAAAGGGAAGCAAACGACTACCGTGCGTGGACGAAAGAAAGGACAGATGCGGCCGCAGAGCTCGAAGGAGTCCTTGTGTTGTTGGCTTGGTTTATAAATTCTTGAAGCGCTTTTTCTTTTTTTTCGAAGGCTTGGACGACGCCTTCTTTTTCGCCTTTGGGTGGCCGTCGTCCTTGTGTGGCAGCGCGGCCCCACTCGCACCGCTCGGATCGGCGGTCCCCTTGTCGCCGGTGCTCATGAATTCGTCGATCGCCAGCTTCACGCCGAGGTCGTCGCCCCCACCGCCCTCCGGGGTGCGATCGATGACAAAGAGCGGCGACGAGGCGTCCCCGTCGTTTTYCCCCTCGTTCGTCTCGGGAAACCTGGTGCCGTTGTTGTTCCGGGGTCGGCGCATCTTGGGGTTCCTGTTCGGCGGCGGCAGGTTGAGCTTTTCGCGGGTTTCCTGGGTCATGGGCCGSCCCCGGTAGCCGGCACTCCCCGGGATCAGGTGGGCCGGCTTTTCCTCGGCCGACCGGTGATCCTTTCGGATGTTCTTCTGCCGGCTCCGCACCTTTTTGCGTTTCTTTTTGGGCTTTGCCGCTGGTTCCCCGCTCGTCGCGCCCGAAGCACCGTCCTCTGTGGCAGCGGCGGGAACACCGGWAACCGGTTCGAAGGTTTCGATTGCTGGTTCGGCGTCGTTGCTGGCACCGCKGGCCTTGGCSGCCATCTCTTTCAGGCGCTGTCGCTCCTTCTTTCCCAGTTTTTTCTTGGCCTTGGTGTTGTCGTCTCCGTCTCTGTTTTTGTTCTTCTTCTTTTTCACGATGGCGGTTCTTCCGCCGTCCTCTTCGTCGCCACCGTCGATGCCGTGGTTGTCCACGCCCAGGTTGCCCGCATTCTCCTCCTCGTCGTCGTGGTCGTTGTCGCGGGATCGTTTTCTTCCGACGTTCAGCACCTGCTTCGCGAGGGCTTCGGACGAGGCAGCCGTTCCCGAAGCYTTTGAAGGTGCAGCGCCCACGCCGCCCCGTTGCCGGCTCCTTGATGCACTCGAACCGGTGGGTTTCCTTGGGGTAGCGAGTGCTTCCTCGGCAGCCCTGTTCCCGCCAAAGAATTTATCCACCGCGGAAAATCCAGAATTGTCGAATTCGGCGGTCATATTGTGCTCKTGAACAATGCTGGTATGAATGCWGATATGAATGCAATACAATAGAATATAGTGCGTGTGGTAAGATCTRGATCGGGGTTTGGTGCTTGCGGTTTGAAAGGAAGTGATGTCTCGTGTCGCAAGGAACTTTGTGAAAGAAATTGAGGAGACAAAGAACGGTTTCTGTTCTCTTTTTGTTCACGATTTCAAACCGCTATTTTCARTTTCAATAGCATAGTGAGAGGATGGTTGGTGGTTGGCGGTGGACGCCAACACGTCTTCTGGGAAGAAAAAATAATTCTAACCTAGTCCCTCAAAAGTTGAAAAGGGTGAGAAACTGGGGCATAAATCGAACGAGGACTACAACTGCGCGATGCTGAGAGCAGGGCGTTCCAAGTTCCAAAACCTCTGTGAGCTGAGGYTACAGTACCGTATGGTACGTACGCTACGTATGCACTCGAACTACTCTTACCCGAGAGGGTCAAACTTGGTTTCATCCTGTTCATGCTATTCAGCGAAAGACGACCCAACCCAACTGTCAACTATGGCGGAACGGGAACAAACGATCCCCAAAGCAGGTCTTGTAMAACAACCACTGCCTCCTCCATCTTCTCATCAACCACAATCAGAGGGAATGACGAAGCAAAACGAAGCGGAAGCGACCGCAAATATCGGTCCGAAGGAAGAAAGGAAAGAAATGGGTACCCGCATTCATGGCAACGCAAACGGCAATTGCAACGGCATCGGCATAGGCAACAATGCCAAACCACACAACCCGACCGCCGTRGAAAAGTCCAAGAACATGTCATCGACGATACGGAACTCTGGTTCGGCGGGACACAACGGAAATCCGTCGGCCAACGGCRGAAGCAACGGCACTTTGACCGATTCCTCTGCGCMGCCCGGTCCGGGAGCCCCCGGGGCGGCAGAAGTGCACGATTCCGGAGAGCCGTCCCATGYGAACCCGCACTCGCACGCGCAGTCCGCCGCTTYGAAGGGCTCGGCAWCCAGCCACAACGGTTCGGGAACGCCCGCCGCCGGAAATCCCGAGAACGCTTCGTCGTCGAGAGAAAAGGAACCCAACGAGGGAATCGCTTCCTCCGCCGCCGCTACGGAAAGACCTTCGGCTGCCTCCGTGCCTGCGTCTCTGGCGGGAAACGCAGTTTGTGGAAATGGATCGGCGTCCCAGCCGCACAAAAAGCAGCAGCAACAGCTGCCGCAACAACAGCAACAGCAACAACAACAACAACAATCACAGGGAACGTATCACGAAGGTAGTGCTCCTCAGATCCCTAGTGTCGTTACCCTTCCAGTAGAAGCAACAACATCGATTCCCAACCAACAACAACAAATACCGTCGGTTGATGCGCAATCGCAGCAGCAATCACCGGACTCGTCCACCGTGCCGAAAAAGGACGAGCAGGTAGCCCAGCACGTGGTTCCAACCAACAMTGGCGACCAGCTGGCACAGATGCCAGCACAGGTACAAACACAACCGCCACAGCAGCAGCGACAACTGCAATTTACGAATMACCACATTCCCATCCAAACCACTTTGGAAGACCAGATTATTGGCATGGTCGGGGCGATCCCAATCATAAAGATGCAGGGAGGAGGCATGCACTACGTAAAGAAGAAGAAGGGCCGCTTCAGCCTTCTGCAAGAAACACCGGTAATACCAAATGCTATAGGCATTGCAGCAATGGCGACGGCGTCGTCCACCGCATCCAGCTCTTCGCAGCAGAACCACGTGGCGGCATCGCAAGGTGGAGTGATTCTTTCGAACAACACTGGAAGCAGCAGCAACAGTGGCAGCATAAGGAACAACGGCACTTCCGCCGCTGCCGCCGCTCCGATTGCCCCCTCGTCGTCCTCTAGGAGCCAATCCCCGATGCCGGGCAGCACCACCTGTTCCGGGAGCACAGCTACCGCGCAAACRCAAACCGTCCAAAACAACCCGCAAACCTTTGACGGCAAGAGTGCCCCTACGGTCAAGCGAAAGGGCCGGTTTGTGGTCACCAACGTGAAGGACCCCGGTTCGATCATACAGATCCAAACCACCACGAAACCACCGGCCCAGGCGAACCAGCCTACCAGCAACGGAGGAACTACCAATCCTCCAGCGGTCACCGTTGTAACAGCACCCACCGTTGACAACAACGTGGTCGTCCTGCACCAACCGCAGCAGCATCATCATCAACAACAACAGCGGCAGCAGCAACAACAGCAAGATCAGCAGCAACAGCAGCAGCAACAGCAGCAGCAACAGCAGCAACAGCAACAGCAGCAGCAGCAGCAACAGCAGCAACACCTAAGCCATAGCCAGACCATGCCTATCATCCACCATCACCAGCAACAAATAATACCTTCACAAAACCAACAGATTCCCATTATACAGCAATCGTATCCAACAACAACTGTTTCACAAATACCTATTCAGCCTGTCATGATCCAACCTCTTTCGACGATACAGCAGGCGTACGATGTAATTCCACAGCAACAMCCACAGAATTATCACCAAAACCATCAATATTCACAGGTTCCGATCAACAACCAACACCAGCACTATCAACAAAGCCACTACCTACAGCCCCAAACTGTACAATACTCGCAGATTCCGGTCCATCCTCACCCCCACGGCCAGCAGTATATACAATATACTACTACCTCGGTAAAGCGGCACACAAGAGATCTATCCAACCAATCTACCTTCACCGCTGTATCGGAACCCAAAACGGTAGTCATTGCGCAGGAACAGCAAGTTGCAACCACACATAATCCACAGCATCCACCTTCCTCTGCGATGCATTCATATACAACCGCGGCAGCGGTCCCCAACAACAAAGCAGRTAGCACGCTTGTTCAGCCACATTATCACCACCACCGACGGGCAGTATCGTCGGGCGCAAACTTTCCAACCAACCARCAGCAACCACCACCAACAAACTCTCAGTCTTCCCATAACATGCCCAGCTCACCAACAACACCGGTGGGATCCACGTCCACATCCTCGCCGTTGCCGAACCGTAGCTCCACTCATTCGTCAAGTTTGCCAAACGCACCAATCCCGAAACCGCCTATTTCGACCACGGAGAAATCGCAGCACACAAAAACTGTGCTCGCGACCAAACCAAAAAAGACGACCATCCAGGGGAGGAGTAGCAGCAGCAGTGGAAAGTTACCCCAGTCGTTTGATAGCAACGGCACCGTCAGCTCTGTCGGRCTGGGAAAGGTATTCTATCTTCTGGACCAGATGAAAATRGAGGTAACGAGTGCCGATCAGTCCATCAAAACGTTCCAAACAGATATCAAGTTGCTGGTAAGTATCCCATTTGTTTATCAAGAGATATGCCTCGTGTCCAACCTATTTATCTGATCACATTGTACGGTATGCACRCACGTCAATTCTCTTTCACCTCTTCCAATTTTTAGCGAGACAAGAACAAGGAGCTGGAGGCCAAAAACAGAGATCTAGATGGAAAATTGCGCGAAGAGCAGGCACTCAGAGAGAAAGCCGAACTACGGAACAAGGATCTTTGGAAGAAACTGAGAGAAGCAATGGAGGAGATAAAAGCCAGCAAACAACAGCCACAGGAAGAAGCTGAAGGCTCTGGTCGAGGAAATGGTCAGGTAGTTCCAGAGAAACCTGTCAGTGGTACCGTTGCGGTCGAAATGAAACCCCCAGCTTCAGYCAAGGTCCCRCAAACAGCCATCTCCATAAACGGAGCTTCGCCAATTCGACACACGATTTCGAGCGATTCGACGCCTCAAAATCCCGTTCCAAAGCAATTGCCCAACCCGATCACACCGAAATCCAAGGGTTCAAAAGGAATAGGTTCGAAAGCCTACACGCCGAAAATCGACCTCGGCCTGAAAGAAAAGCCTGACCAATTGAACGGATCCGATGCCGTTAGAAGGCTCAGTAAATCACAGAATTTTGCCAAGGAAATTGATACGAAGAACGCTGCCTCCACAATCGACAGTTCGGTGCCATCCAATGGGATCAAGGACGGCATCTCCACCCACCATAGACGGAACGAAAGCCTGTCCACAACGTCCACACCACCGTTGATACCGCCTCTGCGACCCTCGATGACAGCTTCGAAATCTTCTGGCCAATCCAGTCACAAGCACAGCCAAAGTCTCCACAATCTGCACGAGTTTGATCCACTGAAGTCTACTGTTATATCCWTTCCTACGTCTGTTTCACTCGAGAACCTGCCTGTCAAAAACCCATCCACATCCGAGAGCACCTCAATACCACATCAGTTGGGTAGCACGTATATGAGTCAAAATCCGTTGGTGGTGCCCCTTACCATTGGAATGACACAAACCGCAGTAAGCAGCAGCGATGGATCAATCGTGCATCACCAATCTCCGATGACCGAACGACAGGGTTTTGTCACGAACGAATATGGCGGATTGCACCAACAGCAATTCATGGTCGTACCACAGCCACAACCCATCGTATTCAATCAAATGGGCGGTGGAATGCAGCAACAGATAGTAGACAACACTTATCCAACGCAACTACGAGCAAATGCATTGCSGAGCCAACCTTTGCATCACCACTTGCACAACCAGYCACACCAGCACTTTCAGCAACACACCACACAGCAACAAATGCATACAAATCCAGTGAACGACTTTGATCCATTTTCGTGATTCCTGAATGAATATCGAGCTCCGAGTCTCCAGAATGCGACTAAAGTCTCAATCTTTTCTTTAAAGATTTGTAATCAAATGATGCCATGGCTTACTCCAGAACATAGGAACAGAATAAAAGTTCTTCTTGAGTGTTCCTTTTGAGGTCAACTAGCACTGAATATAGTYGATCAGTTGCTGCATGTCAGCAGCACTGCTTGTTGCTATTTTGATAGTCCAGCCTTGTGTCTGTGAATAGTGATGGTTGATAAAGTGATGGCAGTGAAATACGTACTACTTTCACTGTATTCTTCAGGTTGTTTTTCAGTCATTCTATCTCTACAATGTCACTCCTCCAAGGATTGTCTATCTTCATCCCCTATCATCTCAAGAGCCTTGAGAAGAGTCCACCAGAAGAAGATTAGAAGAATTTCTTTTGTAAATTGATCCTTGCTGTTCGGGGCATGATAATAAAATCTCTCATACAAGACACCAAATTCTTTTTGTCAGTCTAAAAATGTACTACTGGCAGCCTAGTGGTAGTAGTACTAGTAGTAGTATTTGTACTGCATAAAAAAATAGTGGTTGCTACAACAAGAAGCAACAAAAGTGAACTTCGTCAACACAAGAACAAGAAGAAAGAAGAACACAAGAAAAACACATTGGCATCAAACCAATTCATACATTCATACATGACTTAACAAGCAGTAACATTTTTGCAATCACAAAATATTTCTCGTATTGAACATAAAATTGGCTACGATTCAGTGCAACTCACCACCACGACATGCAAAATAAATTTTCGTACATGTATTCTCTGTTCTCTGGTACAAGGACAGACGGTAGACAGAGAATGAGAAAATGACGCAGGAACAACTCAGGGTCCAGGTTAAAACTGATRCCGGTAGATTCGTGTATCTTCTGTTTTGCCATCTCCTCTCTGCGTTCATTTTCTTTTCCATCAGACGCATCGATCCATCATATTGGGTTGACAACAAAGCCTTGTGGAGTCGAACATCAACGGATAGCACTGGAACCAAAACWTATCCTCAGAGCTACCATTTGATCCACTAGAGGGGCAACTGCGAACGGTGATTCGAACTCGCTGCCATCGYATTTCAACAAATAGAATCGTCCGATAGCACAGGTTCACGCTCGACGTCTACAAACTACGTTGCAGTACAGGCACGGCGCATCCCTTTCCCCGAGCGGTGTCGGGGCTTTGGCACAAAACGCGCTGCTTCCACCCAACAAAAGCCTTCGCTGCATTGTTACGGTAGAAAGTCCTTAATGGGTAGTATCATCTACCGTGGCCTTATCGCAACAAAGTGACGGAACAGTTTTTGAAAAATTGAAAAGGCGAGACRTCGAGGATATACGGCATGTTCAATCCTCTCGATATTCCTGCATACCGCATTCCAAAGAGAGAATCTTGGCCAAAAGGKTCATATGTCCGCAATCATTTCGGCCAGAGYGTACTGTGGCTAGAMAGGCGTGATGGAGGATACCATATGTCGACCGATGCCCTCGAGAAGTACCGTCTTCTGGGAGACGGGCCGGTGGATCGAATATTGGATCTCCTAGAAAAAGACGGAAGGGGACTTCGTCGGGGTGACGATTTGCTGGTGATGGCGGAAAACGCATTGAGGAAAAGATGTCCGTCGCAGGGGATGGCCGAAAAAGAGATGGCAAATTTTCTCGAAACATACCTCCGGATGCCAGACTGGGTAGATTTGAGTCAGATAAAACGGGGGCAAGAAGTCCACCTCGCTTATCTGCCAGCGGTGTCATTGTCGCTGTACTATCGGAGTTTGATCGCGGGGTTTTCRATTCCAAAGATAGCAGAAGTCATTCAAGCTACGGCTTACTTGGCACCGCCTTCACGGCCCGACCAAGCTCTCCAGAGACTGCTGGATACCGGGGAATTTGTAATCGCTTGCACAGCCCTTGGCGTAGACGCATTGCTGCCCGGCGGAACAGGATGGAGAACAGCGCTGCACGTTCGATTCCTTCATGCAAAGGTGCGCCATGCAATTCTCAAGAAGAGAGGGACGAAAAAGTGGAATGTCGACGAGTTTGGAATTCCCATCAATCAAGAGGACATGGCGGCAACACTATTAGCTTTTAGTACAAACGTTCTTATCGGAATAGATRTCATATCCGGAACGTCGTTATCAGAACAAGAGAAACTCGATTATCTGGCGTTGTGGAGGTAAGCATTTGATTGTGATTTCTAGGAGAGAAYTTTGGTAAATCTTTTTCGGCTCACAACAACACAATCTGTAAATTCAATTGCATAGGTATATTGGGTGGCTTCTAGGGGTAGAAACTGAGTTTGATAGCAGAGTAGAGGGTCAACCTACAATGGAGGAATTGCCCCCTCTAGATCCCTGTGGTCCAGGAGTTGGTGTCGAACCCAATCCGATACAGCATTCCCAATCAATCTTTCAGTCCGTAATTTTTCATCTTCTCCATCCCAATGAGTCATCTTTCAAGATAGCCCACCACCTGCTCAAAGTGACGGACAGGAGGCCTCGATCTCTCCAAATCGAAAAAATTCCTGCTCAATTTTACAAAAACTGGATGTTTTATTACCGTTGCTTCAACTGTAGGCGACTGATAGGAAATCCCCTCGCGGACGCTCTCTTGTTGCCGTATCATCCGGATCGGGTCGCGCGGATAAACATCTATCTGGTATCCACGTTCTCCCTGACGTTGATGAGGATTTACAGCAAGGCCGCTAGRTGGATTGGACCGGTGAGGAGGTGGATCATTCGCTGGCACTCGAAAATGTCGGTTGCCTTTCACGAAAAATGGACGAAGACCCACAAGTCCAAAATGGCGATGGCCTTGGCCAAAAACGAGAAATGCAGCGTCCTCTTCGAAACCGCGGAAAACGATGGTCTCGATGTCGATGATCGCGCGGCCTCCATCTGCCCCTTTGCAATGACAGCAACGGTAGAGTGAAAATGTACATAAGAACTACTATAGTGCTCATTTGAATCGGTGAGACCAGAAACAAAATATTTTGCTACAGAATGAATACGCTTTCATCTAGAAAACATTCAACCTTTAATTTTCATCAATGCATTCCAATAAAGAATGCTTAGACCATGGAAATTGAGACGTTGATCAGTCCCTCAATACAGTAATCTATTCGATCTAACGTACCGTAGGTCGTTGGATTGTGAGGATATGTGTGTACAGATACAATAGTACTGTACGTACTACTAGTACATACAGTACCATGTACTGTTCGGTATGCACCGTATCTTGTCACTGTACAATGCTCGTAGGATTACACGCACTCCCTCCAGCAACMGTTACCAGTTCTACGGTACTGATTCTACGGTACTGATACTACTATTGCGATGTTTCGAGTTTCGACGAACCATTTGCCCGATACCAACCTCCTGCTCCGAGGCCCTCATCTCAGTTGAACGACATCTCGATCCCGCTGTTAGGACGAAAGCGCAGGATCGAACCAAACGCAAAGCACAACAAACTGCTACTCATCAAACCAAATCCAAATCCAAATCCAAATCCAAATCCAAATCCAAACCAAACCAAACCACAATGCCGGACGACTCGAAGAGCACACTGGACCGGGCGAAGGAGAACCTGATCAGGTTTCTCTCCCCCAACTCGAAGCCGACCATGGAGACCTTTCCGGAGCTGATCGACTGCGTGGTTTGGCTGCGGTTTTCCCTGGCACTCTTCTTCGGATTGTGGATCGGAAACGAGAACCCCAGCAAGGGCGGGACCAACCTCATGCTCGGGCTGAACCTGATCGCCTTTGTCCCGATCCTCTACTGCCAGACCTTTCTCGGGGCGGACCAGGAATCCTACGGCCCCAAGCTGCTCTTCTCCGGGATCGTCCAGGGCCTCGCCCTGGCCGTCCTGATCTGGATCTATTGCTACACCGACCAGCACCCGGAGGACGAGGCCGCCTTTGTCGAAGCCTACGGGAACCCGTGGAACGCCGGAGCGGCGGCCACCGGCGCCGGCCTTTCGGGGGAGGCCGGGGAAACACCGCCTCTGGCCGAGGAGTCCGAGTTTTGAGAACGGGAGCGGGCGGGAAGGCACAGCGGGCACGCCCCGATTCGATTCGATTCGATTCGATTCGCTGCGTTGAGAGTGCTACTGGTAGCACGGATCGGGGCCGAACCACTTGTATTGTTGACTGCAAAAATAGCACGGCGTCTGGTACTAGGAAGCACGGCATTTGGTTAGGAGTGAACAAGCTTCTAGACTGGTGGTGGAAGCCGGGGTATCAAGGTCGCTGTTTCTCTTCTAAAGGTGAAAAACATGTGATGTAAAATCGACGATTCCAAAAGGATCGAAATATAAGCATTGAATTAGTTTTTACTAGTACTACTCAGTATCCATACTCGAGTYCGTCGTGGTCAAACCATGCGTACTCGGAGGACGCGAGTRTCAATTGCTAGAATAGCKCTTGCCGGAAAAGAGTTTTCGGCGCGGGAAAACCATAGTATTCGTTAATTGATGTATTCTTATTTGTATGTAGTATCGTATCGTATTGTATCGTACATAGATGAGACAGCGGGAACGCCACGACGTGATTGCGTTCGATTGTTTCGCGGCAGGGAGTGCGTTCGTTTTGCGATTCGAAGACAGACGAAGGGTGGCGGAGGCACACACAAACACACACACGCACGCACGCAAGCCGCCCGATCGGTTCCCAAAACAAGGCATTGCCTCGTATCGCGTCGCAGCGATTTCATTCCACCGCATGGCAACGATCGCATTGCAATGTATGGAAGTGCGCGTCCCATCGCTCCGTTTCGTGGTTGGTTGCGCTTCGCCTCTCCTCGTTTGGTTTGGTTTGGTTTCACACCGTGAAGGATTCGCCGCACCCGCACTCGCCCTTGGAGTTGGGGTTCTTGAAGGTGAACTCGCTCGAGAGCTCGGTTTCCTCCCAGTCCATGACGGTCCCGACGACGTTGAAGAGYGCCATGGGCTCGACAAAGACCGTGACCCCGTGGGCCTCCATCCTGAGGTCCTTCTCCGGCTCCTCAAAGGCGTAGTTGAGGGTGTACGAGAGGCCGTTGCAGCCCCGGCGCTTGACGCCCAGCCGGATCCCGACCGCTCCCCTGGCGTTGTCTCCCTCCAGGATTGCCTTTATCCGCTCGGCCGCCTGTTCCGTCTGTGTGTTGTGTTGCGGTTTTGGATCGTTCGTTTGTCGATTGTCGTTTCGTTGAATCGCAATCGTTTGTTCGCGTGATCGCATTTCGGTTTGTTTTGTTTTGTTTTGTTTTGTTTCGTTTCGTCGCATCCGATTCCCCCGGACGACGGCGATACGAAGTGTTGGTGCACGGGAACGCAAGGCAAGAAAACGGTGAGTGTTGGTCGTTTCGATTTTGGAATTCGTTGGATCCGTCGCAATCTATTGACAACCGAGCGTTCGAGCGGGATTCCAACAGGGGTTGGGTTGCTGGTAGTTGGGATGCCGCAACGCAACTCGGCGCGATTCGGTTCGGTTCGATTCGTACGCCCGAGGGGTCACTCGGGAATCGTGCTGCCGCCGCAAGCCAGAACCGGAACCAACCTAAACTCGACTCGACTCGACTCAACCCCAACCCCAACCCAACTCGACTGCAAACAAAGAACACCCGAGCAATCGCCAAACACAAACCAACACACCAAAACACGGTTGGGGCACAACGACGGCCAAAAGTACGCACCAGCACGATCGGGTCCTTGGTGGGCAGGGCCCTCCTCCGGGGGGCCGGTGGGCCTTCCCCCTTTGCCTCCGCCGCCGCAGACGACAGGCCCCGGTAGGGGGGGGTCCTCCCTTCCGCGAGGCGATCTCCAAGGTGACGAGCGCGAACGCTGCGGTCGTTCTTCGAGAGGACGCTTGCGCCGCGGGGGGCCGGTCCGTGCGTTCTTCCGCCCGAAAGGCGGGTGGCGATTCTTGCTGCCCGCGCCGCCGCCCGGGAATGCATCCTTGTGCGTTGCGGTGCGCTGCGCTGCAAACGACCGGTGAAAAAGGCCTTCCGAAACGAAAACGAAAAAGGACGAGCACCCAACCAAGAGGAAGGAACGGAGGCTTTGTCGCTGCGCTCCGGTGTGCTTTGGGGAATTCCGTTTGCTCCGATGCGACCGGCTGTCTCGGCTGCGGTGTTCTGGGATGGGCGGGGTACCGTGCGATCGCTTGGTGGTTGCTCTTGCTCTTGCTGCTGCTGCTGCCGCTGCCGCTGTTGTTGTTCTTGTTGTTCTTGTGAAGCCTTGGCCCTGCGGCTTGTGGGATTCGCTGTTTTGTAATGTACGGTACGGTACGGTATCGTATTGTGTACGGTGGAGGTTCTTCATTCTTGTTGCGGCCCGCTGCTGCCGGCTGATGCGGCACGGTGTAGAAGGTTACAGGTGCATACGGTACGTACGTAAGTTCGTAGGTACCGTTCATTGAGTTGATTCCACTCCTCCTGCTCGTCCTTTCCGTTCCATTGCCCATCCTTGATCGAATCGGACAGAATTCGTGAATGAAACCAAAACGATCGATTGGTAAGGAGCGTACGTATGTGTACGTGTAGTACCGTGCCAGCTAGTAGAACGAGAACGTCTCCTTCTGTCCGCACTACATCGTACAGCACAGCACACACAGTACAATTCGTACTCGTACTCGTACGACCTGTCCTGCGATTCGTCCATCGTCGGGACAGAACCCGTGTTCGTGTGTGTTCGTCCAGGACCCGTCGGTGTGATCACCAAAATCGAACGAGAACTTTTTTTGGACTGGACGAGGAGAACTCGAACCAAAACGCTTCGTGCTCGAAGCCGTAGAACTACGGTACTCTACGATGCCTACGGTACGTGCCGGTACGGTACGGCTGCGTGAGCACAAGAACCACGGGACGACGCTTTCCGTTGCTATTGGCTGTGAACCTCGCGATGGTGCATGGACCGAAACTACCATTACAGCACACGAAAGGTAACCAGAAACCAGACTGCGCACCGTATGCTCCACCGGACGCCACAAAGACAAAAGATATAGACAAAGAGAACCACGACGCGACGCGAGGCAACGCAACGCAACGCAAAGACAAAACGACGAGACGCGATACGACGGCAGGCAGGCAGGCAGCGTTCCACAAGCAGCAGCAGCAAGAACAACAACAACAACAACTCCACACAACGCAATAGCGCAACAACAACTCCACACAACGCAACAGCAACACCACCACCACCACTATGTCGTCGCTCCTGGACGCCGCCGGCCTCTCGAACGGCGGCGGGGACATCTGGTGCACGGGTGGCATCGGCGGCCTCACCTTTGACTCGCCCCTCCGGGACCTCCTGGACTCGGGGGAGTACACCCTGGAGGAGATCCTGGCGGAGGACGAGCTCCTCCAGGAGCTCCGGGGGATCAACCCCCAGCTCATCGACTTTTTCTCGACCGAGGAGGCCGTCTCGGGGCTCGTCCAGTACATGGTCCTATCGCCCTCCAGGAGGGAAGGGGTGCTGAGGGAGGCGGCGGCGAAGGCAGAGGCGAGGACGGATGCGAATGTCGATGTCAATGCGGCTGCGGATGTCGATGCGAATGCCAATGTCAATGCCAACGCCAACGCCAATGCCAACGCCAACCAGAGCGCCTCCTCGCAGAGCGGGGCCGCGGATGAAGGGCCGAACGGGGGCGAGAAAGAAGGAGAAAACGGCGAGGGCAGCGGCAACCAAGACAAAGACAGGGGCAACAACGGCAACACCACCGAGGCGGCAAAGGAACCGGGAAAGTGGCTCCAGGGAGAGGAATTCTTTGGAGACGACACCCCGCGGCAACCCCCGAAAACGAGGCAGGAGCAGGAGGACGACCTCCACTTTCGCTTTCCGTACATGGCCTGCGAGGTCATTTCCTGCGAGCTCAAGGGGATCACCGACCTGATCATGGACGGCTTTGTTCCGCTGCTGGACACCAGCGGCGACGAGAACGAGGACCAGGACGACGACCAGGACGACGAGCACCAGAACCAGAACGAGAACGAGAACGGGCACCCAACACGAGCACAACCGGCGAGCAAGAGCGCCAACGGATCGGCTCCGCTTCTGGCGCTGCCGTCGGCGTCCGACCTCCTCGGCGAAAGCGACGCGAGGGGGAGGCGCATACTCGACCTCTTGTTCTCGATGTTCTACGAGCGGGAGGGCCCGGGGGAAGCTTCCGGCGAAAGAACGACCGGGAGCACCCACGAGAGGGGGAGGCCCGTGGTCATCGACGACTACCGGGCGGGGTACTTTGAAAAGGTCCTGTCGGTCCTCATCAAGCACCGACCGAACGACGTCGCCGAGTACCTCAACGACGGCGGGGGGAGGGGCAGGGAAACCCTCATGGCCGCGATGTTCGACCACCTCTACTCCCACTCCCTCCTGCAGGTCGTCCAGCACCTCCTGATGCCCACGCACGGCCTCCTTCCGCAGGAGGAGGGGGAGGAACAACACGACGACCACGAGAACGAGTGCGGGGACCTCTTCCACGATCCCCTCGACGAAGCCCTGGGGGAGCCCCTCGTGCCCTTTCGCTGCAACTGGTCCGAGTCGGGGCCGGCGCTGGAGATGCTCCTGGAGTGCCTCGTGGGAAAAGACGAAAACAACAACGAAAACGACGAAAACGACGACGACAACGACCGAGGGCTCGACCTCTGCCGGAACGCCTCGGAGGTCCTCATCACCATCATCCAGAACTCCCCCCTCACCTCCCGCACGATGTGCACGCTCACCTCGGACCCGGTCCTGGAAAAGCTGGTCGAGGCCTCGTCCAAGGGCCCGTGCGCGGGTGCCGCGTTTGGCCGCCACGACAGCAGGCTCACCTGCGCCATGAACGTCCTCGAGAGCCTCGTCCTGCAGCTCGGCGGCTACGGGTCGGTGGGGACGGTCGTCCCCTGCCCCGGAGGCAGCGGCGGCGACGGCGGCGGCGACGAAAGCGCACCTTTGGGAAACGGAGGGGGCGCTGCAGGGGCAAAAGGTGGGTCCCCTCCTCCCGAACCGCGCTGCGCCGGCCCGGACACCCTGACAAAACACCTGCCGTTGCTGCTGGACTCGCTCGAAGGCCTGCTGACGCACCCGGGCGCGGAGCGATGGGTGTCCCCGATGCAGTTCTCGGGGAAGGA